TCATTTCACTCAAAAAATGCCTTTCAAAGAATGAATAATTTTTAACATCAGAATAATTTAAAAGTTTATAAGCTTTCTGTCAAATATGGCAAAAAAAAAACAACAACAAACAAACAAAAAACAACAAACAAACAAACAAAACACGTAAAATGTCTACTTGATTGCCTACCCGATTTACCAACCTCACGGGCGGATTCAGAGAGGGCCTATGGGTCCCCCCCCCTTGTGTCCAGAATATACATAAGATTTAATAAATCAATTGTTTTTTGGTTTGGCTCTGGGCTACCTACCCCGACCAAAAACTTGTCGGGCCCCCCTTTTCAAGATTCCTGGATCCACCACTGAACTTGGAAATCAACAATCGCCAAGAAAATCTAAATTACTAAGTATTTTAAAATTAAATGCAATTTTTACAGCGAATACACATTAACCTATAAAAATGAGTCTTAAAATTTCAGCACAGTTGATAAAATCAGGAAGCTGTATAATAGAATCAGAAATTAGAAAAATCTCGAATAGTCCCGGCTTTTAATTTGCCACGGCCCGGGTTTCCTATTTTCAAACACTCTTTAAACTGGAACTCCGCGCATTTTTTTAAATAAAACGACCAGTTTAGATGATGATGATAAAGAAGTTACCACTGCATAACATGAAACGTCTAATGCATATAAAGATTTGAGCAATTCATATAACAAATTAACAACATCATATTATTAATTAACCACCTCATATAAAGATGTTACTACTGCAAAGTATGATTTAAGGAATATATATAATAATTTTACTATATAATATAATGATGTTAGTACTGCACATAATAGATTTTTCACTTCATGTAAAGGTGTCGCACTGAATGAAGTTAACTTGGCACTCCACATGCAGCGGGTTTCATACAATGTAATGATTGCTTTGTCACACAAATTATGTTTGTACTGTATATATTGAATTCATCACATCACAGAAAGATATCAGTAATGTATAAAATGGAAAAACCACTGCATATAATGATTTTACAACATAATGTATCGATATTATCACTTCATTACATTATTTAACCACTACATATAATGACATTGCCACTGAATATAATGATAAAACCACTGCATATAATAAAGTTTTCAATGAATATAATGATTTTATCACTGTATATAGTGATAAAACCACTGCATATAATAAAGTTTTCATTGAATATAATGATTTTACCACTATATATAATGACTTCACCACTTCACATAAAGGTAATTCCACCTCATATAATATGAAAATGACCTTCAGGCAGCTATGGCGTTCCATACATGTACCTCATAATTTTTATTTCATATTGTGATAATAAATTATTGCTCTTCCTTTTTTCTGTGTCAAACTTTCTTCAGATCATAATCAGACATAAAACTCATTTCTGGACAAGAAAATTCAAATTGTGGCCCCCCTCTTTCGTGTCTTAGTGGTTGGGATGCAATTATTTATGCAGGCAGGTAGTATCGTTTTTGAAAGGGGGTGGAGGGCAGCTAGAAAATAAAACTGACAACTTATTTGAAAAAAAATTGTTAAGCCCCCCCCCCCCTTCAACCCCACCCCTAGGAAATTTGTCCTAACTCCAACATCTTATTTCGTGTGTGTCTGTATGTCCTGCCTTGTCTGTTCATCATACAAAAAAAGATATAATTTTTTATGAATAAAAGTTATGACAAAGATTAAAGTTTCTGAAAACTACATCAAACTTCAAGATCAAGGTCACGAGGACAAATATCATAATACAATCCGAAAGGTGTTGTCACAAGTAATGTGAAAAAAAATATGACAGCCTTGTCTCTTCTGTTGCAAAAGTTATGGCCAAAGTTAAATTTTTAATTAGTAGGTCAAACTTCTAGGTCAAGGTCATGAAGTCAAAAATGATATACATTTCTGAAAGGTGTTGTCATGGGTAATGTACATGTAAAATATGAAATCCCTATCTTCCCTCATTTTAAGTTATTACTAATGTTAAAATTTTTGAAAAAGACTGTAGGTTACGAGGTCAAAAAACAGAGTATATTTAGAAAGATATTGTAACAGGTAATGCACTTGTCAAACATAAATTCCCTATCATTCTCATTCAAAATCTATCAGAAATGATATGATTTTTTAAAAATTAGGTCAAATCTCAAGGTCAAAAGGAAATAAAAAAAACAGTAAATTTGAAGTCTTGTCATAGGTAATAAACATGTCAAATATGAAATATATGAGAAATACATGTATATCTTTTCTCATTCAAAAGTTATCGCCGGTATTAACATTTTTTAAAAGTAGGTCAAATTTCAAGGACAAGGGGTAAAAAATCATAGTACATTTGGAAAGGTCTTGTCACAGGTAATGTGCGTGTGAAATATGAATGCCCTGTCTTTTCTCAATCAAAAGTTATAAACAAGGTTAAAGTTTTTGTGACGGACGGACAGACTGGCACACGGATGAGATTTAATAATGTCCCTCGCTTTCCAAAAAGCGGGGGACAAGAACAATTTTCTAAAAAAAAATTAATAACCGGTATTTTTATTTTCTTTTTCAATGGGTTTAAAATAAATGTTAAGAGCGTTGTCGCCCGCGTGGTGCAGTGGTTAGAGCGTTTGCTCTAGAGTCGCAAAGTAGGGAGTTGATCCTTACGTATAGCGGGTTCGAATCAACTGCGGGACGTGGAGACCGGTCCTTCGGATGAGACCATATAAACCGAGGTCCCGTGTTGTAGTAGGTGCTGGCACGAAAAAGATCCCTCACTGCTCAATGGCCCTAAGTGCGGAGTATAGGTCAAAAGTTGCAATCTTCCACCGAGAAGTGCATGGTGGCGTCTCCATATGAGTGATAATTCTCGAGAGGGACGTTAAACAAACAAACAAACAAACAAACTTAAGAGGTTTTTCCCTAGTACATGCATGTACATTGCTTTTTGGAAACCTATTTCACAGTTACCAACTTCCACTTAGGTGAAAATAACATTTGGGAATATATAATTTTGGGTGGGGGTGGAGGATGCAGGGACCCCCCCCCCCCAAAAAAAAAAAAAAACTTCAGAACATAAATTTTTACTTTTAATTTAGGCTTAAATATTCATTGAAAGGCTGCCCTCAATGGACTTTAATCTCCCATCCCTAACTCCACCCCAACCCCAAAACAAAATTTGAAGTTTGATAGAATTCTCTTTTCGTTGGGGCTAGTCAAAGATTTTTTCAGCTGTCATTTTCCCTGATAATACACCTCTCCCTTTCAAAATATATCCTTTGAAGGAACCTGACATTATTTCTTTTTTTTAAAGCAACTAAAGTTGATTTTTAAAAAATTGAATAAATACGACTGGTAATGTTTATGTAACCCCGTTTTTTCACTGCATTTGGCTATACTAGGCTTCAGCAAATGCAAACAAGTAAGATGGCATGAATTCGAAATGCCTAATGAGTTTGTATCATTTCATCATAGTATCATTTAATTAAACAATTATTGCTGTTTTTTTTCAGTCAATACGATGATTTAGCCACCTTCGAAGTAAAATATTCACCTCGCCCTTCCGGCTCGGTGAGTATTGTACTCCTCGGGTGTCTAAATCATCGTATTGACCTCAAAACAGCAATAATTGTATAATATGTACAAGTATTTCCATTTGTACAGATACATGTACAAGTACTATATATATATATATATATATATATATATATATATATATATATATATATATATATATATATATATATATATATATATATATATATATATATATATATATATACAGTGAAACGGCAAAATATTTACGAAATTGAATTTAATTCAGGAAAGAAATTAATATTTCACAAAAATTATTGAATTACATAAACACTTTAAATTCCATAAATCCAATTGTCATACTGGCACCAACGCTTCTTAAATCACATATTACTAGTATAGCTCGTCGACCTCTGAAGTTCAGGACAAAGATTAGGAAATCTTCCAAGATAGGATAGTTTTGATGACCCCACTGATTGAAGATCTAAAATTCCAGATATATCTTGGTTTTAAGATAGCTTCTAAAGCTTGCCTGCTCTTTACTTTTGGTAGAATTTTAAGCAATCTTTGCAGGCAGGTAATACGGTGTCCATCATACACCAATGCCTACATAGTAAATGACGATGTAATTGAAATTATTTAATAATTTTATGAATCAATGATCCAAAGTCTGAAAGTTTAAATAGTTTAAATACTTGTCTTATTTATCCATTTATTTTATTTATTTATTTATCTTTTTTAACTATAATTTCATTATAATGACAACATTTTTAAAAAAATAAAATGCAAACAACAAATGGCTTTTATAAAGAAAGTTTTGTTACATTGTTCAGACACAAGAGTGATTCAACCCTAAATCAAGCCATATCACACAACACACTACAAAGAGAGCATTGAGATTTTTTTTTATTTTTTACAATGTACATCTGTAAACTTCTTAAACAACTAAGAATTTATTCAAACAGAAGTAATACATTAGTTCGGAAATATATAATTCTTTTTCACATTACACGAACACACACAATATACATTGGATGAAAATTACCTCTGACAATTAACGACACAACAAGTTAATTGATATCATACATCAGATTTCTTAATAATACTTGTTCACAGTATATATCATTTGTAGTCCTATAACCACTTTGTCTGTGGAAGACCAATCCTCATCAGGAATTATGAAGGCGATCCATCATTTCATATCCGGTCATTTTTCATTCGAATCAAGATCGGCCATGTACGCCCTCTGACAAAGGTATTTTTTGCGTTTTTCTCAGATTTAGACCTATGCTTGCTGACACGCGTTTTGAGTACAGCTTGCCTAAAAATAAAATTGTACACAAGTTTAATAAAATTATACATACTGCTATTATGGCTGACGTAGTTTTAAAATATGTCATTTTTACAGTATTTAAGATTCAAATACCAGCATATTCGACTTAAAATTGTTACTCTATCTGAGGAAAACAAATCTTTTATCCATAAGTACTTACAATTCCATTATTTCTGATACAAACACATTCATTTCCACAATTGTCAATTGTTATCTTGGAGCCCAGAGGTATAAACTGATTGAATGCATCGCATCCTATGAGAAATTAAAAAGAAATTACAATATACAATTTATTTTTCTTACAGTATATGCCATGTTGTAAATTTTTAATCAACCAAGTGGCAGTGAATACAAAACATTGTCATGATGTAAATGTTATGAATTCCATCAATTTTTTTTGTATAACGGTAATAAAATAGGTATTATGGGAATTGATTATCAATGGTTTAAATCATACTTAACCGGAAGGTCTCAGGATGTGGGGATGTTCTTTCAAAGGGAGAGGGAATTACTTGTGGTGTACCCCAAGGGCGCAGGTTGGGTCCTTTATTGTTTTAATGTTATGTAAATGATATGTTAATTAGTATATGAAGACGCTTATCCTATATGCAAATGACAGTGCCATCTTGTACTCAAATAGAGACCCAAATGTGATCTAAGATAAAATTGGTAAGGTGTTACGGAGGTGTTCTGAGTAGCTCATACACAAGCTCTACCTTCATCTTGGAAAAACAGAGTCTGTTCTATTCGGCCATACCCGCAAGCTAAATAATGAAAGTCAGCTTGAGGTCAAATGTCACAATCAAAATTCTAGGAAGTATTTCAAAACAAAAGAGTAAGTTTCTTTAAAAATCTGAACCCTAAAACTACATGCAGTATTAATTGCGATATCTTAAATTCAACAAACACACTCTGTGTATAGCTGATCGAGTTACCCATAGCCTGACACCAAATTACTAACAGGAGCTCTTTGACAGAAATGATAATACTAATAAGGATGCATCTAATTTTAAGTTAATAGAGTCAGGGCTTTACAAACAACAGTTCAAATTTTATCGCCATGTTCTTTTACACTGGAATACTCTGCCTTTGGGAGTTAAAAATAAAGCTAACACAGCTACACAAAGTAGCTCAAGAAGCTCGAAGGAGGGAAGGAGGTATTTACCGGTATATAGATGTATAACATTTTATGATGTAATAATACAGATTTTTGTATTAATTAAAAAAAAAAAATAAACAATGGCTATTACTTCAGGTTAGGAAAAATATCTGATAATCATTTTTATTTATTTATTTTTTTTTTTGGACCGCTTAGTCATATGTAATTACATGTAATCAATCAACATGTTACAACCCAGAACCCATTGAAAATAAGCAAGTTTTAAATATTGCTTTAATGGGATATCATAGGCAAAGATAGATTAAATTATTATGATTTGCATTATATGTTAAAAGGCCTGGCTCCGGGGCCATAAAACTAAGACAAGCTCACTTTTGATTTCAGTCTAACTCCTACGAAAGGAATTAATGGTGGAAAAGTGAGACTGAGATCAAAACTGGGCTCGTCTAAGTTTTATGGCCCCGGAGCCTGGAACCCGTTTTACAAAAGAACTTACGACTAAGACCAAAAACTTAAGATGATTGTAAAATCTTGCACAATTAATGATTATATTACAAATTGCCTGCATAAATATATCTACTAAATTCTTTTTGAAAAGATTTAAACCATTTTCATAAAAAAGAAAGTTATTTGTAAAATTATTGTTTGGTCTAAGTCGTAAGTTTAGTTGTAAAACAGGGCCCTGGTTTCTGTGATATGCATCCGTTTAAATAATAATGATAGTTATAGACTGTGATTTTATCTGGTGTGCCAAAAATACATGTACAATCCCACTATTAATATTGTTGATTTAATTTAATGTTTAGCAAGTTATTTCATGCTCTGCCTGAATAAAGATAATAACAATAGTCACCCGGTAAATTCAGAATTTACAACGTGATACATAAACATGAAGCTCGCTTTAAAATACTAGTAGATGAATAGTAGATGAATAATATGCCTTATACACATTGTGAGAAGTTAATACTGGTTAGGTTCGGTACCTGGTTGACACTGGCACGTGATTGAATCTGCCCAATCAGGACAGAGGAAATTTCTGTTGTATGTACACTGGTTCCCAGTCCGACAGTCATCACTACAAGACAGAAAAATATAATTGAAATTCAATGCAGTATTTGTTTTGTACGCTTGTCATATATACATTCACATTTATAGTCACTATCATAGTATTTACCTGGTCTTGCAAGGCTGAGTTTCATTTGCTACAATTACTGGAGGAAGTGTCGTTCCTTGGACCATAAAATTCAAAGTTCCATTCCTGTTACTTTGAGGTTCCGATGATAAGACAACATTTCCCCTTGAAGTTTCAATAATTGTATTACCATTTGGATCGACACGTCTTGAAACAGCACCATTTCTGATCAGAGAACCAGCTGAGGGTGACCTTACTCCGACATTGTTAGTAGTTGCTACTCTTGTTTGGAATCCAGAACCTCTAGATGCCGCTTCGCCAAATGTTTCGAAAACCGAGCTCTGGGGGTCCTGTGGTGTTCCAGATGAGGTTCCTACATCCATACTTACAAAGCCACCCACTCTAGTATTCTGTCGTGAATTCCTTGAAAGTCCATTATTTTCAAATCTAGACCCCTGCACACTCTGAATTGAACTTCCAGAGTTTGATGGCATAAATCGTGTTTGTATTGAACTAGAATCCGAGGCAGCGTCAGTATTGGAAGGAAAACTACTACTAGAAAGATTGTTTTGAGCTGGCGCAGTTCTGACCACTCCTCCTCTAGTTTGAGGAAAAGAGGCAGGATCAAATCCAGTTATCGACGGCTGGCTGTTAAAGGCTCCATTATTTTCAGGAGGAAAACTTGAGGAAAATCGTCTTTCTATTGATCCTGGATTAACTATAGCGTTAGAGTTGGGGTTGAAAATGCTACCAGATGGTATGTTTTGGTTTTGTAAAGGTCTGGAAGCATTTTCAGATTGTGACATAGGAACAGGAACAGATCTTGTCATTGTAATCCGGTTATTAAAGTTATCAGTAGAGCTCACACCTCTTTCAAATATGTTTGAATTACCAGTATTCCCAGTAAAAACATTTGAGGAAAATCGCCTTTCTGTTGAATTAGGATCCACAACAGTATTACTATTAAAGGACAAACTGCCTGCAGAGGGCATGTTTTGACTTTGGATACCTCTAAACACAGCTCCCCCAGTTTGTGTGTTAGATGCAGGATCAAATCCTGTCCTTATGAACTGGTTGTTAACATTAGAGGTACCTGTAGGTCTTACAAATGGGTTGGATGTTCCCAAATTTCTGGAAAGAACACTTGAAAACATTCTGGGGTTTTGAACATCCATGGTTTGTGGTCCTCTTGTGGAATCTGCAGAGTTTGAAAAGGAAACAAATCTATTTCTATTTATTGCAGCTTCGCCCCCAAGCAGAGGATTTACATTTGCATTTAAATTGGTGCTCATTCCATTTATTCCGTTGTTTAGATTGGCAAAAACACCAGAGTTAGAAGTATCTGGTACTCGGGTATTGTTAATTTGTGACAAATTATTTGTGTCGGCTTCATTAGAATTGGAGATAACTCTCCTGACGGTTGTGGTCTTTTTTATGAATCTTCTAGTGCTTGAACTGCCAGATGTGAGTGCGCTGTTTTCTGTTCTAGATCTTTCCATATTTGCCTGGGTCTCTGATGACATGCCGTCACGGATTATATTCGGATCTGTCATACCTGTTTTTATTGGATCCGAAACATCAGCATTTCTACCTGTTGCTGCTTCGTTGGTGGTTTGGAATCCTTGTGAAATAGTAGGTTGCCGCGAAAATCCTGTGACTTGTGCCGTTGTTCTTTCACGAATTCTGTTTGGGTCCCTTGTATCGGTTGTGCCTTGTTCCAGAACGTTTACATTTCCATTTAGCTCTCTGTTGACGCCCTGGAATCTTTGAATTCCAGGGGTTTGCTGCGAGCTCATCACAGAATTATCGCTTCTAGTAGAATCAAAAGAGACCGTTGGTGAATTGTTATCAATACCAACCTCTGGCTGGTTGTTTGGAAAATTGAAATTGACATTTACTCCAGGTTGATTACTTGCTGTTGCGAAGTTTGAATTGAAATTAGCTCCTGGTTGGTTATTGGTGCCCATTGTTGCAGAGGCTTCTTGGAAAGTTGTTTCATCCTCATTATTGTTACCGTCAACAAACATAATTTTGCTTCCTCTTTGAGAATTGTCTACAGGGTTCTGAATTCTGTTGTTTGGTTGTCTTCTGGAAATGTTTGTTACAGGGTCTGTTCTAACATCAAATCTTTCGCTTATCGAATTAATTGGAGTTGCTGTTGATCTTACTGTAGATAGAGTATTTTCAAAATCTGAACGTTGGAGATTAACAGACTGGGGCTGCACGTCTACGGAAGTTCGGATGAATTTATTCATATCTACCTTAGATCCTACTATATTGCTATTTCCATTTATTACTATATTGGACTTGTTTTTAACCTCTGAAACCGAGGTTGATGGACGACTTATTTGCCTGTTGTCTATGCTGTTTCCATTTTGTGAAATTGCAGTGGCAGCCTGATTTCTGTTTGGATCTGTTACCACTGACGGTATGAATCGTTGACTTAAAGGATCGATACCCCTGTTTGTACTAGATTGAATTTCTGTAATGGTTGTACGAGAACTTGTGTTTGGGTCGTTGGTACTTCGACTGAATATTGAATTAGAAGGGATTGTCATTCTTTCATTTGATGTCCGAGATACTGTACTTATGTCACTTGGTCCGGGAAATCTATATAGAATATCATTTGGATCGATCTGGCCTTCATTAGCTCTTATGAAGTTTCTAAAGTCCATATTTAGTTCATCTGAGGGTGATGTGACCTGTGAAGTTTTTCTGGTGTCATCAATTCGATTAATAGTTGTTGCTGTATTAACTCTTACTATCCTCGTTTCATCGTTTCTCCCAGAAGGATCAGTAAATATTTGTCTGCTATTGCTTACAGACACCCCAGTCCTAGAACCAACAGAAGGAGTCTGAATGTTAACAGTTGGTGACCCTCCATTGCCAATAGCATTGTCTTGTGCCGTATTAGAGAACTGGGTTGGTGTAAACATTTGCTGAAGTTCACTCAGAGAAGGAATCCTTTCTCCAGTGTTTTCGACAGACACTGCCTGACGTTGTATAAGGTTACTTGGAGATGCATCATTGGAAACACCACTGGAAAGCACTATTCGATTTGGTGAATTGTCTGTAGCCGTACCAGTGATCCTACTGGAGCTCGGGTCGGCGTTCGAATTTCCAAAGACTGTATTTAGAATTGCACTGGCATCAAAAGTTTGTGGATTTGCACTTGTTACAGAATCAAACGAATTAAGTTGTCCATTTACAGTCATTTGTGATGATGCGCCATCATTGGAGTTGCTATTACTAAAGCGTGAAACGAATGAAGACTCGGCAGCAGATGCTGGATTTACTCCTTCCGGTACTCCTGCATCGGAGGTTATTAAACCTGTTGCTAGGCCATTTGCTATCGAGGTTGCGGTGCCTCCTAGTAATGTATCCTGACCAGTCAATGTCGTAATTAAATTTTGACCCTCTAAAGTGTTGGCGGACTCACCCAAAGTAATTAATCCTCCATCGAAACCTGATTGACCCACGATGCTTGCCGTATCAGTCGTTGCGGGTAATGTTTGAACGGTATTTGAGAATCCGCTTAAATCAAAAGTGGTAGGCACCGTTTCACCACTCAGGGTAATGCTTCCAGTTCCCCCGTCAGCTAAAGTTGTTACAGGGGGAGAAATGATAGGGAGGGGTGGCGGTCCTGGAATGCCGGGAAACCCGAGAGGGGCAGGTAAAAGAGTACGCACACCTGGAGGAGGTGGTCCGAATCCTGGAAACAAAGGTGGAGGTCTACCAAAACCACGGAATCCAAACGGAGTAAATCCTTGTTCAACGGAGGATTTAATGAACAAGAGTGAAAGTACGAAAAGGAGATTCCAACCAGTTTTTAGACATTCCATGGTGTCCAGGACAAAATGATTGTGAAAGAGTTCTGGAATGTGTAGATATGTTGCCTATGGATGTTTTATGGCGCTGTATTTATCGATGAATGTGTTAAAGGATATGATGATCTACTAAACAACCAGGGTCAGTGACGACACAATATGCGATTTTATGGACAGTTTTATTGCAAAACGTGTATTGAACACAGAAGTTTTTAATGTAATGTATGTGTTATTAGTATAATATAACGTTTCTTTCATCTGCACAGGTGATCAGCGACAGATCAATACACAATCTTATTGTAAAGGATGAAAAAAGAAAACGTTATCATTATTATGTAATATCCTTCCTCGTTATACTGAATACGCCCCATATGAACTCTTTCTTGTTGTCACTGATGGGCATTGTACGTTTTCTTACCATGATTCTCCGGGGTTTTTTTATTATAAAATTTAAGCTTATGTTACCGTTGTTTATTCTTTTTTTTTTATTTTTTTTTTTTATTTATTTATTTTTTTTTTTTACAAGTTTGTTTGTTTATTTGATTTTTTTTACATGTAAAAGGGGGGCGGGGATTAGAGTAAGGAAAATCGGTGTAAAACTTTGAAGAAGAGATTTGTCTGCGTATTTTTTAAATAACGCATAAATATATAGACAGAATAGTCGATTGCACTGACACCTAGGTCAAGGAGAAGTCAGTGCTTTTTGTTTTGATGGACAGCCCAGTCCGATAATGTATACTACATTACCATTAATATGCCCATCGTTGTCACAAAATATCATTTTATATAACATAGTGTATACTATGTTCACTTTACAACAGATGATCTGATATTTAAGGTACATTGCAGTTTTGCATATTTCTCCATTTTACTGGTTTTAATAATAAGTTTAATTATTTAATTTTTGCATAAAAAGTGGAGATATATAGTTTTCTTATAGCATTAAATGCCCCAGAATTTACGTGTCAATCCTACAAAATATATTAAGTAAAGTGTAGTAAAAAGTAGTAAACTATACAGTAAAATTAAGGTTTCAAAGCTTTCTTTCATATTAAATCAGAATATCAAAGTTTTTACTATTTAAATCAAAGTATCAAAATTTTAACTAAAAAAAAAAAATTGAAGATTCATAGTTTTTGCCACAGTCAAAGCATTTTTTCTACGAAATTCAAATTGTTTTATTTCAATTATTATTTTTAATTGCGATTTATTAACACTAACAGGTAATACAGATTGTATATATTACATAGTAATTCATAAGTCAAATTCCTACCTTACGTTAAAGTATCATAATTTGAAGGTAAATCAAACTATTTAAGTAGTACTGGAGCAAAGGATAGTTAACTATAGTCAATTTTTGTTAAATGAAATACTATGCATTTCTTTAAAGATTAAAGTGCTAGCCCGACGGCAATGAATCTGTACTGACGTGTTAAAGCTCCATATTTCAAAGTTTTAGATTTTAAAATCCTTTTATATTTTACATCACTTGAGTGACGCTACTTCAAGTCAGAAATATTAAATTTAAACAACTATATAATAATTCAAACGATGTAAGTTTAATTAAGTAATTAATTTAAGTAGAAAGAAAAGTATAATATTAGTTAAAAATTTCTTTGTCTCATGAAAATTTCTTATTTAGGAATATTTTAATGTCATTTCCAAAATAAAAGAATAATATACATTTGGAAAAAGGAATGAAAGACACAGACATACAAAAAAATTGTATATTTATTATAAAAACATGAGTACAAAAAAATCACAGAACAAAATAGGGCGACGTGAATAGCCCTTGTAACGTTGTAATAATTTAGTAAAGGACATCTTGTATGACGACAGGTTTTCTTTATTTCTTTCCAGAAAGATCCGGACATGCTCGCATCGTACAGGCAGCCTGAAAAAGGGAAAAAAAAGTCATGTACAGATCGGACATAAATCGCCGTCATCTGTCGGGGCCATGAGACACTACCACTCATAATCTTATAGTTCCCAGGTCCAGAGCACTAAACAGTAATTCCTTTATGAGTTAATTGTTAAGTTATAGCCAAATATCTAGATCCTGGACCTAGTTTGTGGCTGGTAACAACAAGAATAAACCAGGAACCAGGTTTGTATTGGCATCTTTCCCTAGATTCGCTGTGTCATTGCGCAACAAATCATGAATGATACCATCTGAGGCTTTCATCTTTAATAAAGACTCACATGTACTGTATACTGTTTAACCTGTACCGACCAACTAACGAACTTCGGAGAAAAGAGACGAAAGATTCGTAACAGAAATAAATTACATGTATCTAATAACCTACCTCCCCTGACTGACTGTTGTTACATGTACAAACATTCCCACACTGGTCAATCTGCCGAGACTGTCCGAATGGAATAAAAGTGTTCTGTGCCCGGCAACCTATTTGTAAAAGAGTTAATTTTACAATTTTTTTACACTGAAAATAGAAAATATAAAACATTGCAAAGGAAGACAACATGTATTTAGCAAATAAAATATTATTTTTATCAAACATATAGGATATAATCTTACCTGCAACACACTGACATCTTAACATAGGAATCCATTTTGGACACATGTACTGGGCCTGCGTGGCAATAGTTGGAGTAAAGGCACATTGTTGACCAGCTGGACAATCCCTGATAAAACGTTTTTTATGATTAATACTAGTATTTGTAAATGGAATATTAACATGGTATATAAATGTATTAAACCTAAATATGACTTAGAATGTAACATTTACTTACGTTTGGTGACATTGTGCCTGATTTCCTTGGCCCCCAGGGACCAGAGAGGGTTGTAATTGACCAGGGAATCCCCCGGGTTGTCCCGGAAATCCTTGTTGATTTGGTAATCCTGGTTGTCCTCCTGGAAATCCGTTTAGTGGAGGTTGTCCGGCATTAAATCCCTGTTGTCCAGCATTGAAAGCCGGGGGTTGTCCGAAACCTGGGGGACCACCATTGAATCCACCCTGTACACCATTAAATCCTGGTCGTGGAAATCCCTGTTGTCCATTGAATCCTGTTGGCATATTAGGTTGACCGTTAAAATTTGGAGGCCCATTAAATCCAGCCTGTCCATTGAATCCAGGCTGTCCGTTGAATCCTGGTAGATTATTAAAGCCTGCTTGTCCATTAAATCCCATCCCTGGTTGTCCATTAGGTCCTGGTTGACCATTGAAGGCAGGTTGTCCATTAAAGCCGCCCTGTCCCATAAAACCTGCTTGTCCAGGAACGCGTCCTTGTGGTCCAAACTGCGGCGGGAATCCCTGATTCATGGGACCAGGGATACCCTGAGTAGGTGGAAACCCATTAACTCCAAGTTGCATTCCACTGGGGAACCCTGGTTGACCTTGAGTTAAGCCGGTAGTTTGGGATGGGATACCAGTGTTTTGTAAAGAAGTTGTGCCGCCAATTGTAGGAAAACCTCCTTGAATCGTTCCGGTTCCGGTAGCTGGATTTGTTTGGACAGTTCCGGTCTGTGTTCCCACTGTATTTGTTGTAGAGGCGGTTAATCCTGTATTCACAGGTTGTAATCCAGGATTCAGAGTCGAATCAGTACCTTGAGCATTGCTGCTTCCGAAATTCTGTGTGGGAAACGAAAATAAGTCCAAACCAGTGCCTGTGTTCGGGGTAAGATTAAGCGTGTTCCCTTGGCCGAACACTACACCAACAAAACAACACAAAATCCACCCAATTCGTAACTTCATCATTTTATCAAATAAACTTCTAATTCATTAAATTGAATTTATACGTGCGACAGAAAACATTGACAACCAATCAAATAGCAATATCGTAGTGAGTCGTCACAGTGTTATTTAATCTACAGGGTGATCAATCGACTGACGACATCATTATGTCCGAGTTACACCAAAGACCGTACAGAAGTTCTATAATCTACCAAACATTTACATTAATGGCAAGGAAGTCCATGCCATCTTACACTCTCTTGTACAATGTTACGCGTTAATTCAATATGTTAAAAAAAAGTTGTGAAAGAGTGTTATACCGGTATTTGAAAAAAAAAAATAATCAAAGAAAATTTTGTGGTTTTTTTTTTTATATAACATTTGCAAAAATATTCAAAAAGAGAAGGGTAACGCTCCAGCTCAATCAATTTGAAAAGTAAATTCACTCTTCAGTGCGGAAATGTAATGACTTTTAGCTATATACTATACTACTAATACTACTATACTACTAATACTAATAAATATAAACAAGATATCTGATAATGAAATAAATTTAATAAAGTTGGAAGCGGTTTGTTTTACATAGCACATTTTTGAAATTTTGTAAAAAGGAAAAAATCTTTTTTTGGCCAGCAATTTTCGAATATATCTTTTGGCATCTAAATGAAAACATGGACAAAAGTTTACAAAGAGGAGATAAATAAACTTAATTAAAATTCAGCTTCAGATTTATTCCTAGGAATATTTTAATGAGAAATAATGTCACTTCGATATTTTATACTGAAACATTTGGGATACTACCGTAAGTGCTCAATATGACAGATCTGTGGGGACACGTTTTAATGCACTTATTTTTTCCCGTTCTGCTAGCCATCTTCACTGGAAAGTCATCATAATGATTAATCTGTTGACCGTAATGTTACACGATTTCTCACCTGAACACACCCTCAGGCCGAACTGCCTCTAGACTAATTGTATATCTATAAAAACAAACAGGGTCATACAAATAGATTAACAATTGTTTTTCAAAAAATACTACATATATGTCGATACATGCACAATAACATATCTTTCATCATATATATGCTTCTTTATATAGAACGTATTTATATTGTTATTACACGGAATATAGGTATCAAAGTAGAACTTTATGAAAGGGTTTTATCTTTTTTCCAGGTGATTATACTGAGATTTATTTTTAGAAAGGGAATGTTTTTCTCTTTCTCTTTTTTCATATACACACTTATTACTTCTACAAATTAAATATTGTTAATAACCGGACTCATCGCATATTAATTAGTAATTAAATGACGTGTGGAATGTAGGTAAAAGGTATGCCACTTCATAAACGTGTAGAAAGAGCATGCTTCACTTACGGTCTTTTTGGTGCTGTGAATTTCTGAAAAATTAAAACTGCTCATTTTAGATGACAATTCATTTAAAAATGTCAATTGCACCCTTAATGACTGCATATGTATTTAAAATGACGTAATTTTCTTGCTAGTCAATGCATTATTTCGTCAATTATTCCCATATCCTGAAAATTTCTTCAAAAAGGGCAAAACGTTCAATATTTTCATGTATATACAACCTCTGATCTAAAATGTGTTATTTTATAGTAATGGAACTGTTTCTGAAAACTATAAAACTATTTTTTGGATCGAGGGGTGTTCTCATATTCTAATTCTCTGTTGAAGATATTCAAATACATCTGTTTTCATCAATATTCAAGAACATTACAATTTCACAAAGTCTCGGACTCTGGGGAAACTGTTACACAGCACTATGTCTCTATATTTATGTTGAAATGTGACATCAGTGCAGTTAATTAATTGGTATATGGACAGGGCCATTGTATTAGAGAAGTGAACCTAGCTCATGATGCTAGGTAAAATATATTTATAAACACGACATGTATTTGATTGATGTATTTTGAAATCCAAGTAAAACCGGGAAACTTTTCGTCAAAAATAATGCGTATCCCCTATCCCACTTTGGTTTTTCACTTCAAATCATTATACATGTATGTGTGCAGGAATTGAAGTCTCCCTCAGAACTAGGTTAAACTGATATTGGTCTCTCATAGAAGGAATTTCTAGTATACCACGGAGACTTTCTGTGGTTGCCACAGTTAGAAGTGGATGATCATTTATGACCCAGTATATTGCGTGGGTGACATGCAGAACTCATTTTTATTCTTGAGTTCGCGTGTTATCCATAAAGATGTAATAATGGCTAAGCCCACATTATTAATTCAACCATAGGCCAAACTATTTTTATGGAATGTGTGGTGGCAGTAGTAAGATATGACTGTAGTGGGTAGGGAAAACTGCATATGAAATAAATCAAATGGTTTTTACAGACATAAAATATGAAACAAAATGATGATGATGATAACACAATATCATGATAAAGTATAAAATATCTTTGCTTAAATATGGACAGATTTTGCATGCGAACATATAATATTATTAAATGTATAACTTTTCCATAGCACTCCTTACAGAATACTTGGGTATTTAATAATTTCAAAAAATATTAATTCTAGATAACAGACATTAGTAAATAAAAATTTTTAATATTGATTTAATTTTTATTGTTTGATTTGAGTTTTATCAATTCATTATATTTCGAAGTTGTAACATTTCGCTTTGTCATTTTATATTTGTGTAATAAATACTTAAAAGGAATATCTTATGATTTCCTAAGCCTTTCAAGCAATTTATTGCAACATTTTGCTCATGCAAATGACTGTGATCATTAACACGTTTCCTGAATATAATATTGTTTAAATTAACACGTTTCCTGACAATGTTGATATTTTTGGACAGGTACAGACACCAATCTCTAATTTTACCAAATATGTTCTATTTACCGGGATCACGCTTAGATGTGCTTTATGGGGATTTCATATCTTCATATCAAGATCTGCTCACACAAAATAAATTATACAGCCATTTTTTCTTTGTTCTATGCATCGTTTCCTCACTTGGTAAGGTGACACATTTGACGGTTGTCTCTCCAGTCGTCAAGAGAACAAGCTTGGCCATCAAATGTTGTGTGTATAGCATAGAGTCATTACAAATACCATGACCATCGGTATAAAAGCATAAAGATGTCCAGTACCTGACCAATCAGATTTCTAAAAGCGATGACACATACGGATCAACTATTAGTATATTGCCATTTGTCTTCTCGATGTATTAAAACAATGGGATGTTTAGAATGCGCACGTGAAATACACAGATAGTTTTGATTCTTATCAAAAAGTTTCTGACTGTGCTGAAAACAATGGATATTTTAAAAATTCTTTTTGTGACTGTAATGTTATCTTGTGTTTGTGACGGAACTTATTTCTTCAAACCCAAGAAAATATTTTTGCCTCCGATTGAAAAACATCATCATCACCATCATCATCATCATATTCATCCCCATCCTCACCCTCCTCATCCTCACCCTCCTAAGCATCCTCCTCATTCCCACTTTCCTCACAATCATCATCACCCTCACGGAATGGAGGACCACGGATTTTTCCATAAATTTCACAAGCCAAAATTCATCCATCACAGAATTCGTCCACTTCCAAAGCCAGTGATGTACAAGACTTTCCTTATTCGGAAATACAGCTTGCCACCAGATTTTCATGTGCATATTTCGTTGAATAAGAAAATATACGGACACTCTCATGGACCTTTTAAACCACACACCCATTATCCGAAAAATCCTACGTTGATGATGCACCAAAGTAAAATGAAGAAAATATATCGACCGAAACAATTTCCACACAAATATGGACAATATCCTGTGAAAAACATTTTGACATACGGAACTAGAGGAAAAGTTCCACGATTTCCGGAATCGGGTATGCAGATACAAACCAATATGTTTCTTCCCACAGGAATTCTACATCCACCTACCACCAGGCCCTCAAAGAAGCCAAGAATAAGTAAATATGAACTATGGCTGAGGAAAATTAATGATTGGATGATAAGAAAACAGAATACCGCGAAGGGAATTCCTGTAAAAATAAAGCGCAAACGGATTTTTAATAAAATACATACGAATATTCCTAATCCACCTCAACGACTAAACATTCCTGAACCTCGGCCACGTAAAAAAGATGATGGTATTATTGCTAATTTTGTGTTTGTGAAACCACCTTTTATCAGTAAGAGTGAGGATCCAGTAGGTCAGGGGATCCCCGTTTCTGAAAAGCCTAAGCCTTCAACAACTAACAAAAAAAGGATTACTCCAAAGCCAGAAACCGTTAAGTTGCGCCCTAAAGCCCCAGTTATGGGCATTCCTATTAGCCTGGATAATATAGGCCCACCATTTGATATTACTGAAGTTAATGATCTTCCTACGGGTGGCCTACCCCCACCTATTGAAATTATTCATGAACCAATCCCTGGTAGTACCGGCGGTGTCAATAAAGTCGATGTAGGGCTTCCTATAGGTTTGACTCCAGGACCATTTGGGTCAGATTCTGTCACACCACCCAGTATTATAGTGGATGGCCTCCCAACTGAACAGAATGTGAATAGCATTGTTCCGCTTCCCGGAAACATTAACGAAATGTTGACGGATGTAGCTGATTTGTCTGAATTTCCAAATTTAGACCTCAGTAATGAGCCATTGATAATTGAACCTTTTGGTCCAATGCCACCTGATAGTCAGTCTCCCCTGCCGCTGGACATACAACCTTTTCCATGGGACCCCTCTCAGATACCCTTCCCACCGGAAGTAATTCCTCGTATATCAAATAAGGAAAAGGAGCCATATGTTATGAGACCACTGGAACCTATTGTTAAGATAATTGGCCGAGATAGCATAAAACGTAAAAACGACACTATATTTGTACCTAAACCAATATCTGATCCAAAATATAACGAAACAGAACAGGTCAATGAATCGCCTTACAGTGTATTTACTGAGGGTCCAGTGGAACCTTCAACACAAACAACAAAAACAACAATGCCGTCGATTCCTTTACATAGAATTAAAGGTGATCCTAGTGCAACAGCAGTCTTCACAACACAAAAACCATCAGTAACTTACCAAACAACAACAATGACCCTACCTCCTTTATCAATTATGGAGTTAAGAGATTTTGAACACCCAACTTCTGCTACGGATGTCACAACACAGACAACAACAACAGAATTAGAAACAACATCGACAACAATGACAACTAACAGTATTCCGTCAACAGACCCTGCAATCATTGTGAATAGAACAACTGGCGACGGTCAGAATAATATGGATATGGTAGATCAAAAAATAGGAAAAGAACAGAAGAATGAATCAGCCTTCTTTAAGTATAGACCTCAGGAAATAAACATATCATTTCCCTACCTAATATTTGATAATCCAACGACTACTACATCAGCATCAAAGACTCCAAAATCTGACACTGTAACAAGAACTAGTACAGTGACCACAACAACAGTGGCAACAACACTAATTACAAAAACAACTACTATGGATACGGAAATAGTAACTTTAAAGACGAATGCTAGCATGCCTCAATCAACAACAAACCTGTATAAGGATACACCACGTGTGCCAACATTAACGACAACAATACCTGCACCTGTGGCTGTTGACCAGATAAATGAGGAAATAATTTTGGATTTTATGACAAATAAACAGCTTATATCGTCAAGATCCGACGTTGCGATTGATGACTCAACTCCAGATAAAGAAACAACAACGCAAGTAAGTAGTACATCAAAAATAGGCGAATCTACAATCATATGGCCCACAACGATGAAAGAAACAACACCGACAACAACAACAACAACTAATGCATTACCTAATACAACAACACGAATCCTAACAAGTCTGAAACCAAGCACAAAAACTGAGACAACTGAGACTCCAGAACTAGCGGAGGTTATTATGGCATCTTCAACAGCACAGCCACTAACAACAGCAAAAACAACAACAACAATACTAAATACACCTGAAACAACAGGCATACCGACAACTACAGATAATTACTATTCACACACAGAGACCCCGGTGTATGACTATGTTACAGGCCCTTACGACTGGTTTTTCAACGAGACAGATAATACCACGTATTTATATTATGATGAGTTTATGAACATGACAACACACCAAACAACTGAAGTAGTCCTGGAAAGCACAACATCACCAACAACTGAAAGACCAGTAACTCCAACAATGAAAACAACACAAACGACACCAATATTGGTTTCTTCCGGATTTTTATCAAGTAACAAACCTACCACAGCAATGATGGATTTTAGAAGCACAAAGCAGACAACACTTAAACCATCAACCCAAACAACAGAGCCGGTGTACACCTCGACACTAATTTCTACCGAACAGGCAACAACTACAACTACACAGCCACCTGAACAGACATCATTAAGAGAAGATAAAACAACAACTCCAGTAGTAGTAACAACAACCTCCCCAACAGTGACAAGCACCCAGAAACCTCCTGTCACTACGGCAACTCCAGCTTCAACTACAACCGAGGGACTAAAAATCTGCCAAGAAACGTAATAAAGATTATAATAAATCATCATGTATTCATAGACATTTTTTTTTAAAATTTAAACATTCTATTATGTTCCTTTTTAAACATTTAAAAAATATATATTTTGCAGATATTGTAAAATCGGTCAGGAATGTACCGAAAACAATACATGGCTGTGTCCCACTGATGTAGCCGGAACTAACTGCCACTGTACCCAGGGCTGTAGAGTAGGAAACATGTTTATTCCGCTTGGCGAATCCTATCACTTAGACGAATGTGGAAGTGTGTGTTCTTGCTTCAACCTTTATGGAAAGGTATATGAATGTATTGTTTTTATCTTTCGAATTACATTTTAAAAAGATTGAAGGTAGGCTAGTCATTTTATTGTGGAGCATTAGCTGTATTTTGTGTTTTTATCATTGATTAAATATTTGAATGTTTTTTTTTTTGCTCTCTACCTCAAGGCTGAGTGCCACAGACTCCGATGCACTAACAGAACTGTAGCAGATCCTGTAAAGAAGCAGACAAACTACACCGGCATATCTATAGGCGGTGTGATATACATTCCTGTACAACGGGTCCAAATCCCGAAAAATAAGTCGAACACTCCTGGTGATGACGAATATACGTATGGGATTTCGATTGGTGGCGTGATTTACATACCAAAAAGAAATCATACGAACTCTGAACTCGATAAAAATAACGACTGGACGTCGGGAATATCACTAGGTGGGGTCATCTATGTACCCTCCCGCGAATACACAAATGAACAAAATGGCAAAACTGATTATGAAAATGTGGTTGAAGGCAATTCCTCTTGGACAAAAGGAATAACTATTGGGGGCATTATATATGTTCCAGTGCACAAAAGAAAAAAGACCTTTCAAGAAAAGAATCGAGAATTTGAAAAGATATATGACAAGACAAATTTTGCTGATGCCGATGTTATACCTGTTAAAACACCATATGGAACCACAAGGGGAATAACTATTGGAGGTGTTATTTACATACCGAACAAAAACAATAACGAGCCTGTCCATTTTCTTGGTGAAAGCGAAATACAACGTAAAGAGGAGAAAAACCAGACCTCGCCCATAGAAGTGGAATATCCGGTGGGCTGGACAAATGGCATATCAATCGGGGGAATCATTTACGTGCCCGTCCGACAACGCAAGAAGGTTGTACACAACCCTACTTATCAAATACCAGACATTCAAACCAAAAACTACACTAAAAATGACTTTCCTTATTTGACCAAAACGGCTGGAATTCATATTGGAGGTATAATTAATGTTCCGATTGCGAAAAGATCGTCTATAAAATCTATAAAAATAAAAAAGATGAACCCGGCTTTTGGATAAATTATAACAAAAACTTACGTACTCCATTCTTCTCTATGCTACAAACTTCACCGTGACGAGGCACACAGTCCCATTTGTATGTTATTTATTTTGATGTTTTATTATTTTGTCGTGTTCTGTTTTTGTCATGCTTTTTGAAATCCTTTTATAATAAAACGTTTTAAAATTCAAATTTTTAAAAATCTGTTCATTTAATGACTAACTCAGAGGTTTCCAGGAGGAATTGCTTGGCCATCTTGAAGTCCCCTAACGTAAAGCAGGATGAAGACCTTATCACTTCTTTATACAAAAAGAGCATATTAAAGCTATATATGGTGTATCTGAGCTAAAAAAATAACAACAGGAGATTGAGTGTAGATAAACATGAAATACATGTATGTTATTTACGTTCAAATTAAAATTTTCACCGATTTGAACTTGAATAACCTCATGTTTCCATAGTTAAATTGACTTTAAACAGTGTCTGTTATTTAAATGCGGAGTCAGTAAATAATTTGGATATTGTTTAAAATTTCTAATATCTTTGAAACGTGATTGATTTAAATTGTGTAATTTACAGGAAAGTCCTATCTTTATATAAAGTAATAAAACAAATAGAAATCTTTTTAATTTTAGTTAGTCTGAACATAAAAATTACGCCATATATGACTTTAAATGTTCTGCATGTTCTAACGGATATATGTAATCAATATTTTGACATAGGTTCCATCTCCATTGCTTTGCCTATTCTGTCACGTGCCTGGACGCCTACACCAATATATCTGATTTTCTTTTTATCTATAGGCCTAAACATCTATCAGTATTTTTTAAATACCAGTATTGTCTGTTATACGACCATGTTTTATAATATTATTCATAACTTTCATTATTTTTATATATATATTTCAATCATTGCACTGTCAACTTAATTTTCGTTATGGCATCACCGATCATTTATGTACCAACCGGTGGACGTAGGAATACATTTTCTGTCACTTGTCTTCACAGTCACATTGTTCGACACGAGTTAACTCCGAGGTCAAGTTTTTCAGCAGGGGTCCAACTTTTAATACAAATCTAATTTGAGTAAAAGAGCATTTTTTTCGTAAATGTTGATGATTTTTCTAATTTCTGCTGTAAACACTTCTGTCTTTTCCATCATTAGTCATGAATGTCTATAGGTCTTACATGTAACGTTGTATTTCCGAGACAAATTAGTTTCTGAATTTTCCCTCCAAATTCGAGTATTTCTTTACCAGACAGTAGCTAGTTTTTTTGAGTTGAAAAAAAAATACGCGTAAACTTTAGAAATTAACTAGTTTTATGAAAATTATGGACTTGCTCATTTTAGTGTATTTGAGGGAGGGGAGGGGGGTGATTTGACCCGGAACTTGATTTTTAAGCACTTGCTCTACTTCGACCGAAATAAATACGCGCCTTTTTGGATGCTTATTATAGTTGCATAACTAGGTTTATGGGAAAGAAAATTCGGACAGATATATCGGGTCTGTCCGCATTTTCCTTCCCAGAGCTACGTTCTGCAGCTAGATGCCTATGAGATTTTGGTACTGAAATATATTCCAAAAGAATTGCTTTACAATATCTGAAAAGGAAAAGAATACCCCGGTATGTTTTGGTTTTATCGCTGCCATTTTTATTAGGAATATTGCTTAAAATAATTTTACAAAATAATGAAAAATATTTTTTGTTACGAAAAGATTGTAGGTCGATCACTAAAATGTTTTTCTTAAATGAAAATTTTATTTTTTATATCAAAATATTGAAATGCTAGGGTGAATTACACCAAAAGTAAATTATACACTTCAAATGAATGAAAAAAGAGAGATTGGGATACATGAATATATAATCCACAGATGGAGAAATGTGAACCGTTACATGTATATCACTTTCTTGATTATCTTGTCTCCTCGTATGTCAATACTGCGCTATCTCCTAGATATACTTTCCATTGGGCCAACTTTAAAATAATGTTTGTTTGCCCTCTCCCGACTCAGGATGAAAAAATTGGGTCGGTAGGTAGGTGACAAATTTTTTCCCCCCAGAAAATTTCAACATCAATGCTGAATTTTCAAAATCTATTTTCCGGAATGCATAAAAAAATTGCTTCCTGGAGGTTAAAAAAGTTTAAGTCGGGCCGTTTTTAGCCAGTCGGTCGGGAGAGGGCAACCAAACATTTTTTTTTTAAGATGGCCTTGGTTGTTTTGGGGGTAGTTACGCCAGAGTTTCTGAGTAGTTGCTGAACAAAAATAAAATGTTTTTAGGGTTGACTAAGCGTGCGCAATTTTAATTAGACGATATTAATTCATCAAACGTGATTCCTATTCCTGTCGTGAGAAAATTCTTCCTATAAACGATATTATTTCTGGGCTTCGAATGCTAAATGTGATTTAAATTCAAAATATGTGGTCTCTCTTGTCAGTCTTGACCAAATTCAAAGGTTGTAGATTAGAATGAGTTCCAACTAAGAATTGCAGTATATTTAATCCGCCGATTTTGTTTATAGCGGTGAAAAAGTTGAAATACCTTTTTTGTTTATCATGTTTCCACCTTACAAGTCAATACAACGCTATTTCCAAGCTATACTTCCGTGGATAAACTTAAAGTCTCTATGTAATCTCGCTATATAGTCTTGCCAGGGTTACTGAAAACTCTTCGGATATTACAATTTGCTGAACACCGAAAAATATGTTTTTGATAATATTTGGAGGGGTGAATCTGGTAACAAAACACATACTACTAGTCATCTAGCAAGCTATAGAATTTTGTTTTCGTCCAAGTGAAGAGATGCTTGACAAACAAATGCACTGAAGCTCTCACTGCTTCTTCCTTATGGACCTTCTATACACCTTTTAAAACGTTTTTCGAACATTGAGACAATTACATCGAGTAAAAGTTTAAATATTGAGCATATACAATTCATTTTCAGCAAAGAGAAATCAGTTAATTACCTCATTCCGGGAAAGATCTTTAAAGTCAAGAAATTACTGATGAACAGAAATCTATGTTGCAATGGGGAAAATGACATGCAAAACAAGATATGTTTGTGAAACACTGATGCCCCCTTATGGCAACTTATAGCGAAGGTTTAACTTTCTCAAATGCAAATCAAATATGCTGGTACCCAAAGTAAAGGTCTTGTACCGAGGAATATACCTGTGAAATGTGAAAGCCCTAGCAGCAACCATTGAAAAGATATGGAAAAGGTTAAAGTTTTTCAAAAGTAAGTCAAACATCAAGGTCAAGGTCAAATGGTCAAAATTAATGGTGCCCAAGGAAAGGCCTTCTCAAAATAAATATACATGTGAAATATGAAAGCCCTAGCAATGACCGTTTAAAAGATATGGCCAAGGTTAAAGTTTTTCAAAAGTAGGTCAAACTCCAAGGTCAATGGGCTATAATTGTTGGTATCTAAAGGAAGAACTTGTCACAAGAATTACACATGTGAAAAATGAAAGCCCTTGCACCAACTGTTCAAAAGTTGTGGCCAAGGTTAAAGTTTTCCAAAAGTAGGTCAAACTCCAAGGTGAAGGTCAAAGGGTCAAAAGTGTTGGTATCCAAAGGAAGGTCTTGTTACAAGGATTACATATATGAAGAATGAAAGCCCTAGCACCAACTGTTCAAAAGTTATGGCTAAGATTAAAGTTTTCCAAAGGTAGGTCAAAGGGTCAAAGTTGTTGTTATCCAAATTAAGGTCTTGTCACAAGGATTACATATGTGAAAAATGAAAGCCCTAGCACCTACCGTTCAAAATATATGGCTAATGTTAAAGTTTTTCAAAAGTTGGTCAAACTCGTAGGTAAAGGTTAAAGGGTCAAAGTTGTTGGTATCCAAAGAAAGGTCTTGTCACAAGGATTACACATGTGAAGTATGAAAGCCCTAGCACCAGCCGTTCAAAAGTTATGGCCAATGTTAAAGTTTTACAAAAGTACGTCAAACTCCAAGGTCAAGGGGTCAAAGTTGTTGGTATCCAAAGCAAGGTCTTGTCACAAGGATTACATATGCTAAGTATGAAAGCCTTAGCACCAACCGTTCAAAAGTTATGGCCAATGTTAAAGTTTTTCAAAAGTAGGTCAAACTCCAAGGTCAAGGTCAAGGTCAAATATGGTGGTACCCAAAGAAAGGTCTTGTCACAAGGAATAAACAGCCCTAGTACCAATCGTTCAAATGTTATGGCCAAGGTTAAAGTGGAAAAATTTTGCAAAGCTGGGTCAAACTCCAAGGTCAAGGTAAAAAGGTCAAATATGGTGGTACCCGAAGAAAGGTCTTGTCACAAAGAATACACATGTGAAATATGAAAGCCATAGCTCCAACCAATCAAAAGTTATGGGCAATGTTAAAGTTTTTGCGGACAGACAGACAGACGGACGGACAGGGCAAAAACTATAAACTCCCGAATCTTCGATACGGGGGCATAAAAAGTCTTCAATTAATTTATCTTGACCTAACAAAATCCTTTGAATTCTTATAATGATTACAAATTTACTATATAATACACTGTATGTTTCAATTAATATTATATGAGAATTAAGAGTAGTCCACTCTAACTGCATTAAAATACCACAATATTATAGAGTTCTTTGGTGTACAATATATATAGAGAATTCTACAGAAAAACAAAATTTAACATGTGCCAATTCTATAAATATTGCAAAATGTACAAAACTTAGATTTGTTTTATTTCAAAGATTTTCAATCGTTATTTAGTTCGAAAATCAATTATTTACGTATCGACCTTGAACCTTGAGATATGATCTGCAGACACAGACGCTGGAAAGACGTAGGTATGTTTTTAATTTTTTTTTTAAAATCCAAATCTCTTTTGACCAAACAGCAGTTTTATGTTTCCATTCTGAAAGATTTTACATTTTGATTAAAATAACATTCGCAGGTTTGTTAGTAATGACTGCACCAGTCCTGTGCTTAATGCATACTTTTTACAGTGATTTTGATTCAAATTAAAGATTTTCAAACTTATTACATCTTGAATTAAGTTTTAAAATGTATCACGTGATTTATAGCTCCTAACAATTGAGGAATTTGGAACATAATCATTGATAAAATAGTAAGTAGTTTATAACCAAGTGATGGTCCTCATTCACGAGAATACGCAAATACCTGTCACTGAGAGATAAGACTATTCCTTGCCAAATACTTGCGTATCAAAATTATATTACCGATGAAGAAAAAAAAGTGTCTATTAAACGTTAGATTTCGAAAAGTAAAAATGAATTGTATTGGTTCAATACATTGAACTCTTACAATATCTTCTGATAAAAGATAATAATCCTAATCCTTTTTTTATCATTTATCGCATACCTAGCATTCTAAGTTAATGGTCATCATGACTCATTATTTCATTTTGTCATTGATAATGGTCACATTCTATAATATATTGTCACCTTTTATTGCTGTGCACGAGTAATGCAACCGTTCTTGCTTAATTGATCCACGGTCCACTGGTCAACGTGCGTTGTCCTGACTGTCCACTAAACGATGCAAATACGTCATGGGTCTTTAGGGTCAGTTCTAGTATTAAAAATCCATTAAATGATTGTATTAGTATCCTGTGAATGACAAAACTTGTGAGTTTCATTCATGAGGAAATGTTTCCATTCATGAAAGATAGTGGTTCAATGACGTGTGCTTCCTGGAGGTGTCAAATGCGTAAACATACCGTAAACATGTGTAGTTTGTCTTGGATATAAAAGAAGACAATACTTAAAAGCAGGCATAATTGAGTAAGAATAACAACTACATTCATCGTATCATTTAACCTTATAACCTTTAGGATAAGCTATTTATTACTAAAAAGAACCATGCAATTTCTAATCCTATTTCTCTTCTTTCTACAAATTGCCAGCGGAGTTATATTTCCTATTCGTCGCCCTGTTCGGGTCAGAGGTGATATAACGATGAGAAGGCCCCGGTTTCTACGATTTCCAATGAGATTTATTCCACTAGTCGGCAGAGTTTTCAGGAGCAGACGACTAATGCCAAACTCACATATTCACATACCACTCAATGGAAGACAATTCGAACACTCTCATGGCTTCAGTGATGTTGGTCATTCACATGACACAGGGTTTCCTTCGGGGGTCTACCCTGAAAACGGAGTCGGATGGAATGTGCCAGATGAATGGAGAGATGCCAACACCTGGTCAATGTTTGATAAGGTCAATCCAGATTCTGTTCTTGTACGCAATAATGACCTTCCGATCAGTACACCAGACTTCGCTGGTCCCAGCGTCCCACTATTTCCTGATAACATCATACCATCTGATGTTGAGGTCCCAATGGTTACATCAGAATTTCTACCAACTTCCGACAAACGAGAAGAACCCGTGGTTACAAGACCATTAACTCCTATAACAGATAAAATTGATGGTTCCTCACTACCAGGTATTTTTGTGAATAGAGATAATATTAATTCGACTGACACGAACAGAACTCAAGGGAATATAGAAAATAATACCAACACAGACCTGGTCCAAGGTTCCAATACAACAACTGAAACGAAGGGACATGAGAGTACAAAGACCAATGAACCATCCTGTCATAAAACGTAAGTAGATAAGAAAAGTGTCATGACTATTTTTATAATGATTTCAAATTTTTCAATTAAGTATAAACTTAGTATCACTTAATTTCACATATTAACTTGAAATTTTACAGCATAATTGATCACCTTTTACCACAACTTTCTTTCTTTATAGGGGTTGCATGACAGGTCACGAATGTGTCTTTTCTGGTTCCCACATTTGTCCCATATACATACCGGAAGTCGACTGCAAGTGCAGAGCAGGTTGCAGAGTTGACTATACATTTATACCATACGGCACAACCGTCACCATGGATTCATGTGGAAACACATGCTCTTGTTTTAATATGTATGGAGCAGTAAGTATATTATTTGTTTCTCTGGGCTCAAAGAAGTATCCTCAATATATTGTACATCATACAGTATCATTTTGTTACATTATCGTGAAAATAACTACATTTATTTCTCTTTATTTCACAGCCAACCTGTTCAAATATATCTTGCAAAGCTAACTCCCAGAAATTATTACCTTCTGGTCCAACTATCACACCAAAAGAAAACGACATTTTACCAGCCAACATTTCAACACCACAGAATCCGTTACCGACTCCGGTCAACTTGGACGTCACCACGAAAGCTAAGCTGGAAAATAGCAAAAGAAAGGACAGCATCCTAATGAATTTCCCAGTGATTCCGATTGTCAGAGATACTCAGAAAAGTTAAAAATCGTGTTCATGCTTCAAAGAGATTTTTTGCCTAAATGATTTGAGAAATCCTACTTTTATATTTTAATTTTTATTGTGCTTTCGTATGAAATCCATTGTAACAAATAAATTTTGCTAAACTTAATGTTTTATATCTCCCTGGTGTTTTATGGAGTATAACAGAAATCAAATAGAATGCAATTTCAAAAAAGAAGATATTTAATTAAATTATCAAGATTTGTCTGAACCAAATTCTGCACCAAGAGCACAGCAAAGTCTTACACATGAGAAATGTTTAGATTCATGAGTGTAGTAAGTGTTCTGAGGAGCAGATGTATCGTAGATGGCATATTTATTAAAAGCTTGTTGGATAGTCATCTGATAATGGTTGATCAAAATATGATCTAAACTTAGAAATAAAACTAGTACCAAATCCCATGTAATCACTGAATTATACAAAACGGCAATATATATGCTAAATAACAAGAACTCAGTCATTTGACGTTCAATAAATTGGAGCAAAATTGATTTTTGAAGAAAAAATAGATCAAAGGTCATGTAAAAGTCAGTAACACTAATATTATACGAAAAGCAATACACGACAGTTGCCAGAAGTTGGTGTAGTGTGGTAATTATACTTGTAGTTTCTAAAGAAAGTTTGAGTATATTGTTGTTATCCTGGTCTGTTCCTCCGACCCTGTCAGGCTATCTTCTTCCTCAATTTTCTATTACATTTAAAGCAATAGCCTATTCATTTTTTGAATTTGACTGGGGATGTCCTATGGAACTTCAATAACCTAGGGGACTAATTGTGGTTAAAATCAAACAAAGTTTTTTTTTCTACGAAATCCTGGTTCCCAGAACTCCTCCTATATTTTTAGCAGTAGCCAGGTCATATTTTACAATATGATTGGTGAAGTCCTGTAGCTGTTCCATAAGGTTTCAGAATTTTCCGATTCACCACTGAAACCATGGGGGGGGGGGGGGGGTCGAAAAACAACGTTTTTGTTATTATTGAAGTATTTTCTGGAATATGATATAGTGAAGTCCGGTAGCTATGAGTATTCAAATTCACGATTTGGGGAATCAAAAACAATGCTTCTCTAAAATAAAATTCTGGTTTTAAGAATTCCTCTGGCATTTTATACGATAACTAAAGCATCTCTTGGAATACGATTTGTGGTGTCCTGCAGATGTGCAACAAGGTTTCAGGAGTTTCATTTTACTAGGGGAGGCCATTTGGGGGCAAAAAACCCTATTTTTTTCTACAACAACCTTGTTCCCAGAACTCCTTTATTATTTTACACAGTAGCAAACTCTTCTTTTAGAATATGTATGTATAGCAGTACAATATACATGTATACTAGTATAATTACTGGTGTCCTGTAGATGTGCATTTTCATTTTTTTGAATTTCAGACTGATAATGAATTCATCATATGAAATATAAATTTAAGAGACCAAAGGGCCACATGCTCACCTAAGTATTTGTGTTCAATTTGATACCTTTATATTTTATATATGTAAATCATATAACTATTGTGGCTTCTTCACTAGTATCCTGACATGAAGGAGAGCTTGTATATACTTAGACAAAAACATTTTCGTGGGAGCAGTAATTCTTACATTGTATGTTATTATAACTTCTTGAGTTATGTTTTCGCTTTATGATACAGTCCTGTGACAACTTGTTCAAAATTGTGTATTTACTCCAATCCAGCACATTCAAAATTTAGAACATGACACTAGCATCAAAGGGGAGGATGAATAATTACCAAAATGATAACTTATCTGTTCATTTTCCTTTTACCTTGTATAAAAGTAAACGTAAACTTGCATAGAACAGGGGCCCGTTTTTGAACAAAAAACACGCCTAGAATCAATAATTTCAGTGTTTTCAAACATCTTGCCTTCCTTTTGTTTTTTAAATAAAAATATCCCCCCCCCCCAAATATTTTCCCGTAGTCTTAACAATATACCTTTTCAAATTAATTAAAAGAAGAAAATTATTGAAAAAACAAATACATATTTTTGATCTTAGTCTTAGATTCTTTTACGCAAGACTAAATATTCTATTAAACAAAACAACGTATATCAATTTTGAATTCAAAGGAAAGCTTGAAAATTAACTTATTAAAGTATGGTAACAAATTTCTTAATTAGACATGTACTAATCTTCTACAACCCCTACGACAGCATCTTTTTCAATAAATTCTTAACGTACAAATAAACGATAAAACGGGTACATACACTAATAAGAAAGGACACAATGGATCTCCTTGCATTGCTCCATGTCTGTGTTACCTAGGAACAGTTTCATTACTATAAAACTATTACATTGCACAAGTATCTTTTATACTACTGTATATCACGTTTCAAGGTTTCCCCCTCCTTTTATATTATCTTTTTTTTTCTTTTTCCGATATTTTTTTCATAATTGGCAATCAACAATCAAATTAACAAACATTTTATGAATGAGAACTTTTATTGCCTTAATTGGCGATGACGAAATGTCGCCATGTACATGTATCTAGTTTTGGTATGTGATCGTCTGCTTTCCTGGTGATTTTTGACAGATCTTACGAAATTCCAAATAGTCATACGTTTGTTTTTACAGCATGCGTACTTCCCTTTAACGTGGGCCGTGTGATGTATTTCTAATATACCCACACCTCTATCATTCAGGGATTGGGGTTATAACACGATATATAGATAAATATACCCACCAATACACAGATTCATATTCTCCTGACATAAACAAACACCAAAACATACATGTCAATTAAATCACGATCATAATTAGTAAGTGGATGTTTGTAAACAATTCTGGATTTTGCAGATCTGTGTATTAGACAAAAACAACAGGGATGTATTCATGAGGAATAATTAAAGATACATATTATTTTTCTGTTTTTCGCTCATAAAGTTTTCAATGGCAGTACTTACGACAATGAGCATTCTTTTGCTGTGTTGTTTGTTATGTTTTGTGTATGTCGATTCATTTCTCTATGCTTCTGTTCCTTGGACTGTAATAATTTTCGATGACATCGAAAACGATGCATCTGGGAACTATTACACGCCGTTCATGGAAAATCGACCCTTGGGGCCAGTGAACAACAGGAGGAGGAGACCCCCACCTCCTGTAGGCAACTTGAGACCCCCGATTCCCATGGGCAACTTGAGACCTCTGCAAAGGATGGCTCCAAACAATATGAACATTCCCAGACGGGAAGCGGTTACACCCGTAAATACTGTCAAGTACATCTCTCCATACCCTAGGTAATAATGATTTCAGTAACAGATATGGTTAGATAGTCCTTAATTCTTTTTGCTTTGTGTTTTTCGTAAATTGATGAAACATTTGGTACATCACTTTTTCAGTACACCTTATTGTCCTGTTGGACAACAGTACGTTTATTTGCCGCCCACTCTGGATGGTGATGCTGTAGCGTCGATCTGTCCCCTGAACAATCCTGTGCATCCCTTATGTAGATGCCAAACAGGTGCGAGATTTTATAGATATTTATTTATGATTGGAAACTTAAAGTTCATCAATATTTACCAATCAATTTATCTCTTCCGATTTTATAAATATTCTTTTACAAATTCTTTGCATCAATTTGTCTTCTCCTTGCAGGGTGTCGACATAAAAACTTCTTTATCCCCTATGGCACGTCAATAATGGTTGATAAATGTGGAAACAAATGCTACTGTAATAGCTTAAATGGAGAGGTAGGCTTTCATTAGGCCCCAATATTTATCATAAATCAACTGAAAATCAAAGAGATTATATATATGTGTTAATTGTTCTTTTACGTCTTGCAGGTGGAATGCGAATTCGACAGTTGTTAAGGGACACTTCTTTGCTGTGCTTCCGTAAATGCTAGTCGGAAATTACATATCTGAACTGAAATAATAGTGCTAACACTAGATTTTTTGACAAGTTCAAGTTGTGAAATCTGACTGGTTTTCTGTGTATCTTTTATAAAGAACTTTAAAATGTTTTTGTATTCCAAAGAGTTTAATAAAATGTTTTTGCAGTTAGAACACTTTTTTAAATATTAATCTTAATCAAGATGGTGGAGTGCAAATTTATACGCTGAAAAATTCTAACGACAAAAGAAATGCAATGTAATGCAAAGACAGTGCTGTGTATATCCTGACTTTGCAGACTTACTTTTAAAAAAACCTTCTAGACAGGTCTATCAAAGTTTCGTCTTTTCAATTTTTTGTAATAATTCTTGAAACATTTCATATGTTCATTGTGAATATATATGTTTTAAAGCTTAGAATTTTACTTGGTTCAAAGTTGCAATTTTTATTTTAATTTTGATCTTTCGGGGTAGGTGGGGTGGGATGGGTTGGGGTGGTATTTTTTTAAACCCAGACATGTTTACATTTAAGCACAATAAAGGAGTTCAAAGCAGAAAAAAATGCTGAATAGGATGAACTTCCCAACCCCGTCAACAGGCCGCCTCTTTACACATCACACGTAAGTGGTCAAATGGCCATACCTAGAATAAACCAACCTTACTAACAGTTAAGTCATTTCCTGGGGTAAATCTTTACCTCTAGGCTATGGGAAAACATCTATGTATTGCTGAACATTCCGCAGGCCGCTTGTCACAGAAAAAATCCTTGTAACCATCTTTATGATTGGATGGTCATAAACGAGCAGCCAATGGTACATGTCCTCTCTTTTTTCAAGATATAAGCGTGTGTGGCGTTACGTAGTCCGTCAATTCTGATTGATGGACATAATTTAATAGAAATCGGAACATGTGTTGACGTCTTATAGTTCTCATACCCACACTTTAAACGTCATTTCTTCCTTATATATACTCAAAAAACTGTCAACAAATGCATATTGTATTTTGATAGTCCAATCAGCTAGGACAATGAAGTTAGAAATAATTGTTTGCCTTTTGTGTTTATTATCTTTAACACATGCTTACTCTTACAAAAGGAGAAAAAATTGTGTGAAACGACCTTTGCCATATCCTCCGACTTATCATTACTACAGACCAAGGTTTCCTCCAATGCCATTCCCAAGATGGCCCCAGTGGAACGTGCCCGCTCCAACTCCTGTGGCCATGAAGTTTTTTGAGGTTGGAGGACAACCTGCGCCACCAAACACTGACCAGATCCTACCTTTGTTTCCCCAGCCCCAGCCGCCAATTGACGTCAAACCTGTCATCCCGGATAACTCCGGACCCGTGATCGTAAATCCGGTGAATCCGATTATAGAAGATTCCGGACCCCTTCGTGGAGATCTTGCTCCTGCTCGTGATATTGTACCACCTGCACTGAATGGTAAACCTTGCAATGCCATGTGAGTAATAGGAAGTATTTTAGGTTTACTCTTTGGTGTGTTTTACAACAGTTCTCCATTATACCAGGAAGAATGATTTATAAATAGGTTTTTTTTTTGATTTCTTTTGTTCAGGAGTAATAATTGTGCCATGGGAGAAGTTTGTATGTATATTGACCAGTCAGTAGGAAATAGCTTTGTTTGTCCCTCGGCGACTGCAGTGTCATGTACTTGCCAACCAGGTAAAATTCTAACTGATACACTGTCTCCATTCTCTGCTTAACACTTGTCCCATTCCTCCCACACAAAAAAAATTCCTATTCTAACAGATTAGCCTAATTCCGAGCACTCTGTCTTAAATTCTTAACCTCTAACAATTAACTCCTCTAAATTTGCACGTAAGTAGATACATTAATAACGATCACTTCGTGGCGTTATACAGGGTGTCGGCATGGGGACCTATTTATTTCACTCGGTAATACGGTGTTGGTGGATCAGTGCGGAAGCAAATGTTCTTGTATGTCGTTGTATGGAACAGTAAGTTAATCATCTAGTCATTGTTCTGTGCATAATCGCTTTCCCGATTCCCAAAGTTAATATTTCTAAATTGTGGTGTTTATTTACAATCTCTCTATTTTATTTACAGGTCAGCTGTGACAAAAAAGCTTGTTAGTCCAATCATTCTAATTTTTACTCTATGGATCAAGAGAAAGCCAAAGATTTATGTAAACCGTTTTTGAAACTGTAATCATGTTAAACATATTTAATAAATTATATGTAATATAATACAACTTGTTATTGATGGTTGAAAAAAAAAATGAAGTAATTTATAAACGATAAAATTTGATGATACTTTTAATGCATGTATTATCATAATAATTATTAGTTTGATTAACCAAAAATACTTTTAGTCTCCGAAATTATCAAATAAATGGTACATAAAATGATAATACACCTTACGGAAGTGGACAAATCAGATCTAACGCTTACGCAACTGATTACAGGATCCAAAAAAGGGGACAAAAGACACTAAAATTAAGTATTAACGTTTTCTACTGTTGAATCATTGTTTGTGGGGGATCAATGTTCGTTGTTCAACACACGAATTACATCCTCTTGAACAATCTTTGTCAGCATATCGTTTCATTGAATCTTCTGTAGACAGTAAGCTCCCCGCGAAATTATGTCCCCACGAACCATTAAAATTTTAGTTGCCCACGAACATTGACCCTCCTTGAATTAAAATAATCTATTATATTTCAACATTAACCAAAAATGTTCAAATGAAGAATCCATGAACAGAATTCACTATTGCTTACATTTGGGAAAAGTACATGTAAATAATGTGTCAATTTAAAATTCAACTAGGCCTAATGAAATACATTGTATTGAAAATGGTTAATTACAAATTGAGTAACATAAGTAAATTTCAATTTATTTTAGATCTAAGGACAGATCACTCTAACATCATAAAATACAATTAAATATCTTTTGTGTGAAGTGTATGAAGTGTTCTTAAGTGCATACTTTACTTTCTTATTAAACACTTTCTGAATTTTCGAAGGAAAAACCAACATCAAACAACTTTTCTCAATATTTTAATTTTTAAATAACATTTAACTACTCTCATTTTTCTGTCTACGCTCAAAACTTCAACAAACAACATGCATATTTTAAGTAAAAATGACTTCCCCTCATTTTTCTACGACATCCCGTATACACTGGTACAACCTTTAAAGTTTTGCAAACTTCACAGGCAAGTAGGCATTCGTTGGAGTCATGCATATATGCACCAGATTCGGTTCTATATCTAGCGTATGATAATACTGTTATCAATATATTTACCTATTTCATTTAGAAACATCATTATATGAGAAATTTGTCGATACTTTACCAACATTTTTTTCTACAAGCCATACATGTAACATTAGCAAAAACTCTTTCTAGCCCATAAACAGTCCAATAACCGGTCCTACATGAACGATAACACTTTTTTCATAAAATTCAAAAAAATTCTAACATGATGAATTTCAATACTGTAGCGATAGTGTAGTGTTTCTTTACTACGTCATTATAAAATGTAAAATGGATATGATTATGAAAAAAATATAACAATACGACACTGAGCATAAATGTAAAATAAATATTATTCCTATAGCATCCTCAAATTAACCATATGAATCAGCAACCACGTGGTCAGAACCAATATCACATTTTACAACATTAAATAAATAAAGAAGTAATGTTTACTTCCTAGAAAAATGGAAACACAACATAAAATGTTTACATCGTAAAATGAAATTATGCCTCTTTATCACAAAAACTTGAACAATTACAGAATCGCAATTTAAAATTATAAACATGTATTTGTAAGGAAAGAAAAAGTCAATAATTTAGCCATCAATCATTAAATACAACGGAAATTTAAAAGAAACAAATCTTTTGAATAACAGGCTAAATAAAAAGTAAATAAAAATAAATCTTATATGAATTCAAGTTAAGAATAAAATTAAAATTCTATTCTGGCAAGTTACATATTAAAATATCACAGTGCAAAATAAATACATGTGAATGGAGAAAGGACGGAATCTATGTACAAATATATAAATAAATTGCTAATATCACAGTTTTATCAAATTTCAATAGTGAAATAAAATGGAATGTGCTACATTTGCTATAAATCATAAAAGACAATTATACTAGTAAATTCTAAGATATTTTAAAACTTTTTATAGAATCACTAGCATTTAGAACTTCAAAACCTATACGTTGTAGAATTGCTAGTAGGTCAATTTGTTTTGATACATTTATGATTGCATTGAGGAGGATGAAAAATACAATATTCTAAGAGTTAAAAAGGGAATCATCCTAACTTGGAAGTAAACGACAGTCTTTGATCAGATCTGGCATTTCTTTTCGCAGCTGCGGCACACATCAGCTTGAAACTGGGAGACCTATTTAGAATGGAAAATATTAATACATTCGTTAATTTACAAATTTTCTTACTTCTTTAATTCAATTTTAAAATAACTTTTATCATGCATTTGTTATTAAACATTTACATGCAATATAAACAAAAATAAAAATTTAAAATTATCCCCAAAAAACTTTTAAGAGTGAAAGAGACTGTCAAACAAAACTATATAATCATTTTGATGTTTCACGCGGAATTAGGTTCGATAACTCTTGTACCTTCAGTCTTGTTCCCTGATGCTTCCTACGAAGTTTGTTATACCGAGCCCGACATACGTCACACTCAACGCAATCTTCCATGTCAAAGCGAATAGTTTTTCTGCCAACAAGAACATTTCTCATTTTTTTCTCTCTTTCCAAAATCAATCACACAGTCAACATTGAACCAATCCGTTTTTCAATGAAAATGCCATGTTGTAACATAGCTTTCTACTCAGTTATGAATTTTTTGACTGTATACATGACCAAACATGATTTTCAATGAAATAAAGACATGGCCCAGTGTATCCCCGTCTGATTAAGTACGCACGAAGCTTTGTTTGACAACCCTTTCACCTTGCAGCTGTTACTTTGCAGACTTTCAATCACAACATTAATCTTTAATTCAAAACAAAATTCCGCCACCTTTTAACATTAATATGTATGTTATAATATATATATGTTATAATAATCATTTTAGTATTGTATGCCCCGGCCGCACAATCAATGTTTGAATGCATCCTTACTTTTCCCCTTTTGCATCCATTATTCCACAACAGATTCAATGCGTTCCTTCCTTTTCACAAGAAAAAGGAAAAAAATCTTTGAAAGAAGCTGTTTAACAATTCAACAGTTCATTTTCTTGCTAATAAAGCATTGCTGCAGCCGAATCATAGTGTTTCCCTACCATCTACAAACCTATAGGGAGCATGGTTACATTGAGTTTACTATATGGCCACGGTTCGTCCAAAGCCATGTTGTTTGGTGTATTTTGCTACAAGAATATCTGCATATCTCCTCTCCTCTTCCGTTAACAATGGTGGACTTCCACTATTGGAAGAGAATATTGGTCAACCCGGATACATAGGAATTAAAGCAAAGGGGGTTTTCTTGAATACACATGGGGAGAAGTTAGAAACCATAATCCATCAACATAGCAATTCAACACTTCCATTTTTGCTTGATAAGTTATCAAATAAATTAATGAAGATAGCTACAGAATTTTGGATTATGTTTTCGAAATGGATATGCAGTTCCAGGTTCGCGCATCTAACACAGAATTGCACCTGTCGGCCTTCAAAAAAACCTTTCAATGTATACATGTATGTACCTGAATCTAGACCCTGTACGATCAATTAATTACCACTTGAACAAAACATTTTTAATGAGTGCATAATTTACGTGAAGAAAAATATAATCAAATGAAATGTTGGTTAAAGTAACAAAATATACTGCGTGATTAGTCAACACATGCAAAGTTCTGTGTAAATGCGATCAAACATAGAACAGCACAGCAGCGCAAGCACATGCAAAATTAGTAGAAATATGTACAGGTAAATCATCTATGAAGAAGTTTATATGGATGTGAAAACGAACCTTTCTTGACACCAAAGATTCAAAATTAAGTACCAGTTTTTGCAAATCGCACCTGTATGCCTTTTTTAAAAATGGTCAAGAAAGCCTCGTTTAGGATACGTAATATGGGATACACTAAAAGGAAGTGAATAGATAGATGTTCCAAATATATTAACTAAATAACGGTGATCTATAGTAATCATTTTCACCTTTTAATAACTAGTATCATCTGAAATTAGCAACATGCCAAATCTAAATTTTATTACTTCAGGTAACTTTATGTATTACTCGAGGTATTACTGAACGATTAAATTGTAGATGATTGATTCAGAAAATATAAGCTAGTACATACACTGTACATATATAAAACAGTCAATGAATCCAGATCCCTTAAGATATCAAATTTCTACAGAATATACCCCCGCCAAACACATATGTTTACTAATTTACAGCATTAAAAACATTTTCTAACTAATATCAACCCCTTTAACCGTTAAATATCCAGCACCATCAATACGACATAAGTCCCCCTCCCATTCTCTTCGCCAAAGATGAACAGATGTGAATTCAGTACTTACAATGGCTGATGTTGATATCTTATTGGAGTTACTGGTCTAACTGGTGATAACTCGTCGTCGAAAATTTCCCTGGCGGTGCGGAGAGAGCCGCTCCGCTTCAGTCCTGAAGAGTAAATGGGTTTTGTGGGAGATGAACACGTCTTGCTGCCGTCATAAGGTTTGTATGTGTATGAGGACCCGTGAGAACCGATTTCTTTCGTGGGAGTTCTAACGGGACTTCGAGTTGGAGAGACTGACTGTGAGCCGTATGAGCGCCGATGAGCGCTATTAATTCCTTCTTTAATACTTAAGTTGGTTTCGCTTTTAGCGTTTTTGAGGATGCTTCTGATGTTAGCATTATTTCGTTGTGGTGAAACGGATGAGCCATAGGAAGACCGCGTGGGTCCGTAGCTGGAAGACCGATATGGAGGTCCATAGTCATCAGTATTGTAGTAACGATTACAGCTCTCTTGTTGGACGGCATACTCCAGAGCCTTCATAAACGTTTTGTCGCCGTTTGGACTCTGTAAATCATACCGACTTGGTCTTTGGTACTCCTCTTTATAGCGATTGTCAATAGGAGATTCTACAATACATTCAATTGTTTCCTTTGTATTGTCGTATCGAGTGTTTCTAGGGGATATAACATAAGACCTCTGAGGTCTGATGGCATCATTAGAGTTCATTAAATATGGACTATAAACTAAATGTCTCTTTGCTGGCTTCTCCTCGCTAAAATTTCTTCCTTTTGGACTCCTGCTGCGACTGGGACTGTTTGATCTTATTGTTGGACTCTTTCTCAAATCTTTTTTTGGAGTTCGCTGAATATAGTCATCCTGTTCATCTTTATCTTCGTCAAATCTACCGATTGGTCGTTTAATGAAATATCTTTGAACTTCCAGATCATCTACTGAGTCATCGTCTGCTTCTCCAACAGATGAATTGAAGTTTGATTTATAAGACTGTGACCTTCTGTGAGGGTAAATTTCATGGCGAGCTGAATTAGGGGGAGACATTTCATCGTATCCACTTTCTCTTCCAACAGAGATGGGAGTGGATCTTCCTGAAGTATAAGAACTAGGTTTCTGAGGTGATGATTGGAAGGTATCATCATAAAAGCGCCGAGAACTGCCAGCTGATTCGGAGCGGGATCTGTAGGTAGGAGTTGATGTCATTTTGACATCTGTAGGGATTTCTCTTCTTCTAGGAGTCAGAAAAGAATCTTTTGTAAATCCATTTGGTTGGCCTTTGATGGTGTATCCATTTACTGGCTCTTCAAAGTCCTCTTCCTCTTCTTCATCATCATCATCATAAAGGCCGTTTTCTATATATTTTCCAATAATCCCACTAACTTTGGATAGTTGACCTTGTTTCTGAAATTTTGATAATTCCCAGAATAATTGCTTTCTTTCTTTCCTGGCATCATCGAGGATGTTTTTGAGATCGTTGATGATGCTCTGTTGCTTTCCAGTAAGTTTCTTTTCCCTTGCCAAATCCTACAAAAAACAAATATGAATACGTGTACAGGTATTATTTATACAGTGCATTTGAAAAATTGAAAAAGGCTAGACTAAAATAAAAATTCATTCTCATCAGAAAACAAAAGTTATTACTGGTATCATACCTCTTTGAGTTCTGTATTTTCTCTCTGTGTATTTGCTAAAATGTTTTTGAAATTATCCCTTTCCTCAGTCAGGGACTGAAGTGTAGGAATGTCTTTTTTGGAGCTGCCAGCTAGCAAGTTTCTTGTTTGCTCCAGTTCAGCCTCCAGGTCATCAATGCTGGATTTAGCTGCCTGTAACTGTTTCTCAGTTTCTCGAAGTCTTTCCTCTGTACTTTCATTTCTTGTTTTTTCTTTCTCTAATTGTGTTCTCAATTCCATGTTTTCTGCCTGGGACCTTGAAAGATGAGCTCTACAATCATTTAGTACATCATTAGTTTTCTCCATTTTTTCTGTCATTTCAACATTTGAATTTTTCAACTTTGCTTGTAAAATGTCATTTTCTGTAATGGCAGTGGCAAGAGCTTGTTTCAGTTCTATAAGATCTTGATCAGATATACGTGATTTGTTTGCTAGCTTTTTCCATTTTTCTACTTTCTTAGGATCATATCCAAGATTATCTGAAGAATCAATCCCCCAGATTTCTTCAGAGACTTTCCGTATTGGACTAGAATATCCTAAACTTATAGGCTGTCCTCTTCGAGTTGGAGCAAATGTTAAATTGCCATCAGGTGCTTCAGTGATTGATAAGTCCTGCAAACTTCGTGATGTGTAAGAATCAGGTGTATACTGCTCTGGTGAAGCACTAGAGTGTAATCTTGTTTCAGACTTTGACCTCACAGGACTAGTTTCTTCATCCTTTCGCTGTCTGAACATTCTTCCTCTTGTGTAATCTGGAGATCTGGATGATCTTCTTGGTGAAATAGGTGATCTTGGAGATCTCGTAGGAGAAATCCGTGGTGATCTTGCTTCTGGACTCTTTGCAATCTTCTCATGGACCTGTTCAGAAAGTTGTTTGGTGAGTTTGTCAATATCTTCCAATTCCGTATCATCTGATAGATTTGACTTTTCTAAAACGTCCATTTTTAATTTTAAGAGTTCCAATTCTCGGTTGAGGACTCTCACTAATCTTCTATTTGGGTCAGTTTCCCTACTGTGTCTGCCTGGTGAAGTCACATCTGCCACTTGAGTTTCTTCAGCAGGGGATTTTGCTCTAGGAGACCTTGGAGATTTATCTCCTTTCACAGATCCTCTCTCAAGACTAGATCTTGGAGACCTTTCTAAACTTGTTCGAGGTGACCTTTCTATACTTGCTCTAGGCGACCTTTCTAAACTACTCCTAGGGGATCTTTCCTGACTAAAGTCTACAGATCTGGTAAGCCTCTCCCTGCTGAATGCTCTATCAGGACTACTTCTTTCTAGACTTGGAGATTTAGATCTGCTTGATGACCTATCCTTCAAAATGGATTTTGGGTATGTCTCCTCCTCTAAGCCTGACCCAGGAGTCAATGAACGTGGCCTATATACTGCTGGCCTTTCTGGTGATTTTCTTTCCCTTTTTCTGTTCCTTCCAACTTGCAAATCCTTTTGTATCTTCTCTTTCAGAGGTTCCACAATATCAACTCTCGGAAATGTTCTCTGCTCTCCATCACTTTCACCAGTATTTGCTTTCCTATCTCTCAATGGTTTTGATATTTCTAAAATATTGTGACTTGTTTCAAACCCGTCACCCACAACTTCCAGAATTCCACGTTTATTTGTTGGCAAGTTTGAAAGGTCAACACTACCATCTAGTTGAGAAGCAGATGTTGCATTAGGTGCAAAGGTCACTCCCCTACCCTCATTATCTGCTTCTCTTTGTTTGCTATGCTCACCCTCTGGTACCACATTTGGTGCAACATCATCCACAGCATTTAAATCTAGTAAATTATGAAGACCTTGAGGACTCTGGTCTCTTGGTCTGTTTGTTTCCTGATCATGGAAATTAGCCTCATGCCTGGCTTGTCGAAGAGCCTGAAGAAAGAACTGCATTTCCGGACTTGCACTACTTCCCTGTCCAGGCACAATGAAAATAGGCATACCTCTACCTATACCTGGATAATAGTAAGGTGGAGTCATTCCAAATGTTCCTTGATAGCCTGCCTCTGCACCTATTTCTATTTCCTCCTGAGATTTTGAGTCACCTTCTTTCATACTTGACTTGTCTAAATCACTTGATGTAATTGAAAAATTATCACCTTCTTGTTGCTGTTCAAGAGTTTTACGAGCTTCTTCCATTTTCTGCCATTCTTGTTTTCTGTTTTCAAACTTCTGTCTGGCATCTGCCATAATAGACTCAGTTGTCCTTGGCCGTTTCACAGTCCTAGACACAATGGGAAGGGGTTCTTTTACATTTGTCTCACTTTTGGGTGTTATTTTCTCAAGTCCTTCCTTCAAAAAAGTTTCATCCACATTTATTTGTAATACTTCGTCTTGTTCAGCACTTTCCTTGGGATGTATCTCCTCTTCCTCTTTCTGCTCAGTGTTTTTCTTTAGGGTATTTTCCTTTGTTTCAGATTTTTGTATGGGAAGTTTTTCTTTTTTATCAGTTGTTAGGGAAATGGATCCAGACAACACACTTACACTTTCCTCATCTTCATCTCCTTCCAGAGGTAAATGTTCTGACACTTGTTCAGAAATTGTTTTTATGATCAGACTCTCACCCTCAGGAGTTACATCTGGATCAACAGACTTCACAGAACCATTGGACGAGGAGAACCAATCAGAATTATCGTCTGCTAAATCATCCACTGATGAATGTTTGACCAGAGGTGAGGCTTTTTTCCTCCTCTCAGGTGAACCAGAACTTGAGATTTCCTGAGATGACTGCTGCAAAAAAATTAATTAAAATTTTATCTATTCATTCTCAATATCAAGGTTTTTGCGACCAGTTAAAAAAAGTTTGTGGTTAAAAAAGTATAGACATTTACTTTTTCACTCTCTACTCTATCTTCAGTATACTCTAATTGGCCTAATGAAACCTAAAAAAAGAAAATTTTGAAAGATTAAATTTCAATCAACTAATAGGTATTACAACTTATTTTGTAAAATGTTAGCAGAAGAGAATTTGAAGTTGAAAGGAAATAAACGATGATACACACCTAAACTTTAGGGCATTAGATAGAGTTATAAAAGGCATTTGTAGAAAAAAAATTGATGAAAATGAAACAAAATCAAAAGCACATGCTTTTAAGTATTATTTTTAATGAACATAATGACTGTATATACATGTACATGTATAAGATAGAAACACAAGAGAAAATTAAGATTAAATTAACACGACATGTTCACCAAGTTATATATGCCTCAATGATATTACTGTAGGAGTTATATATAACATGATTGAAAGCTCATGCATATATTATTTCTATGTATATATATGAAGTTTGGTTATACGATGTATATTCTCAGAAACATTGATTTACTTACACTGCGGATGATAATTCACTGTTTTACAATAAAAGAAAGTGTTATATAAACTTTGTCGCCATGATTTCTATATGCTGTCTATACTTGGTAAACTATAGCAGATTTCACACACTTAATAACTGCCATCTATAAAGTGAGGTTTTAAAATCATTTTGATTAATGCCTCCTACCTTTCTTTTCAGCAGAGAGATATAGATCATCAAAGTGTGCTCATCTATGGTGCTTTCAATGACATCTGTTGGGCTGGAAAAAAAAGAAAGAACCACTAATCTCAATACACAGTCTAGTTAGTAAAAAAAAAAAAAAAAAAAAAAATAGCACTCTACAGAATCAATATCAAGTCATGACATAAATTACAAAAGCTCAAAAATCCAATACTTTTCAGTTGACTTTTAAGTTCTTCGGCACTACTTTGCACATTTTGCTTACTGGTGGAGTACTTTTTTATGCCGTTGTTAGGTTAAACACATAATGGTCTATAAATTGTATAGAGAAGGTCTCACAGGTAATGATTGGATCTGAATATTGAGGGGTTCCCTCATACAAAGTAAGTAAAGGCACTATTTAAGCAGCACAAAAAGATAGATTTAAGAATAAATAAGACGGGATGATAAAAAGTGCCCAGCCATCTTGTATAGAGATATTGACTATTCAGCAAGACAGTTTAAACTGTACAACCAGACCAGAGTGTGTTTTGTCCAAAGATCAATATTCATTCATCTATAAAAACATGTTGATGATATAATCTCTCTTTTTACAAATTGTACATTAAAACCCAATGATTTGCCAATTGTGCCAGGTGAAATAAAAATCTTCAGACGACAGGTTAACAAAGTCGCATGAAGAACATGCATTCTTTCCACGCTATGTTGCACTTTAAGAACATCGGCATTTTCAGGTAAACATTTTGTCCATTAATTCACGAAGTTTAGATTTTAATTCTTATGTTGGTACCCTTTCTTAGATATCCCTTTAATTTAAACAATTTGGATTATTCTTTGATAAATTTAACATCAAGTATCTGATTTTTCCACACAACAAGCATCAACACTGTGTTAACAAAAATGCCTAACAGATGTACTCATGTATGGTTGTACATATACTTGAATGTTGGTACATGTATTCGCATGCATTCCTGTGCAGCATGGATACTTGATTATACAGCATCATTTTCACATTTCCAGCTTATTAATACACACACATCAATTGCTAATCCCCTATTTCAACACCATAATTAGACAAATATAAATTAAGGCAAAAAAGGATTAAATCACAGTATATATACATGTATATATATATACCTAGAATTTCTCTGTTTTAACATTTATGCCATTGGTATTCCTACATAAGGTATGTACCTATGTATCAAAACTTTACCTGGCAATAATCACTACCTGGACAAAGAGTGGCCAACAGTATTAAAAGAGAGATGTTATTTCTGCCTATTTACACAAGGATAAGGGTAATACTATAAGGCTTATAGAACCACTTACTTGACGATGTCCTGGCGAATGCCCAGTTGTTTCTCCAACACTTCCAAAAGAGCCTCTAACTCCTTCTCCTTGTTCCTCACCTGTCAGGTAAATAAAGATGTTGATCAATTACCTTAACTGTATGTAAATCAATACTGCCCATTATCTGTCTGCTTGGGTCAGGTGTCTGGAAGTGCAGGGTATATAGTGTAGGAGAAATACTGGCTTGGAATTTTTTAATCATACCATAAATTGATATCAATTTCTTCAGAAATAATGGTTTAGACGAACTTTTAGCTTCTGTAATACCTGGGTATACAATTGCACACCTTGCACTAGAATTACACAACCTTGCTCAAATACCGAGTGAGAATTATATATCCAGGTATTATAGAATTTATATTTGAAACTTAAAACTGTCAAGCTGTCCAGAATGAATGATTTTTCTTCTGTAAAATGGATTTGGATTGGTACAATGTTCTGATACATATCACTACTTCCTTAAAGTCCAAAAATAATTTATAGCTAGTATATACATTCTGATCCCAAATAAATATAAATGTCAAAGTACATGTCCTTTCCATTTGAATTTAGGACCAAAGAGAATGATCCACTCCTAATCCTGCTGAATTCAAATATCCCTCATCAATATTCCTCCTTTGAACAGCAAACAAAATATTTAACATTGAAATATTAATCAGAAGTGCAAATATGTAGATAATGTGTCAACACTTATCATAAGGGCTTTAAGGCAAGATAAATAAAAGTCCCCAGCTTTACAGGGATAGGTTCAGGTACATATTATATCTTACCCAATAAATTAATAAATTAAATCTACATTTCTCAAACAAATATAAAAACTATGGCCATCTTATATTTAGTTTGAATTTTTAAGTTGAAGCAGTCTAAAAATGTCTAGAAATAAATATGATATTTATAGCTGGGTAGATAAAAGTAAATGCATGCAGGGTAATATAATTGAGATTTAAAATTTTAAAAAATTGATTCAAAATACCTTACCTCTGGTTGGTCACCTTCACTGACAAATTTTCTCAGAAGTTGAATAAACCAATCCCCTGTAGTACACAAACTGTAATTTCAAGAGATAAAAATTAAGAAGGAAGAAAATGGCCAAGTATGAACATGAAACTTTAAGTAAATTAACCTATGCTGGAAGGAAAAGGCAAACACAGATTGCAATACAGTCCATACCTGCTAATCTAACTCTTAACTTAAAAATAAGATAGCTTTGATCAGGAACAATTTATTCAGGCAGTGGTGGATGCCAACATAAGTGTATTGATTTTTTGTGACATGCACATTTACTTTAGCTAGAAATGCTTTTCAGAAGATCTTTAATGAAAATTATTTTTTGCAAAATTAGAAATAAGTATGGCCATTTTTGTTTTGATTTTCCTCACTTTTTTTCTCTATCTGTCACATCATCAAACATCTACTTTTCTGCTAACATTGCAAATTATTTTCAACTACAGTACATGTTTAATATCTCAAACTTCATTATCTTGAATGCCAGCCTATGGATATGTCAAAGTGAGTTGGAGGTTGCAACTATCGATACCTCAAATTCTCTGATATCTTAAAGGTTTTTTATTTCTCCTTCCCTTCAAGATAATGAGGTTTGACTGTATTTGTGTCATTTAGACAATTGATATGATCCAAATTAAATCAGTTTGGAAAACTGAAATCATATCCTGTATCTTATTGGGAAAAAATATAAAACAAATCTCATGCTATAATTAAAAAAATGTTTTCAGCTTAATAAGAAGTCTGCCAGGTTCTGAAGATTATGATAGTTGGCTGGTTTTAACACCATTTATAATCCTGATCTAATTCTTCAAATTTTCGTAAGATTTAAATTACAGAGTAGAATGCTGTGAGGTTAAATGTTTCTAAAAAGATTTTGAGCCAACAAATATTGTATACTGCTGTTTGTGACAGTAATATATCTCGTGTTAACAGGGGTGTCTTAGAAATTGAATATAAGATTGCACCTTTTTCTACCCATAGTACACTGAGGTTAATGTTTGAAACTTTAATTGATTCGAGTTGTAATTTCAGAATATGTACACTAAAGGAATGTCTAAGGAGTTTCCCATAAGGGCTATAATTACAATCTTTTCAAAAATAGTTATTATGTTCTCAATTTCCAAAGGGGGTAATTTAAACATTGCAGTTTTTAAAGATAAGATTTACTTCATGTCAGCATTTTGAATATTACTAAGTTTTGAGGTTAAAATTTGTCAATTGAAAATCACTCTCACAATTGCTTACATTAGGAGTGCTGCTTGAAAATTTGTAAAGTAGCATTTTTGTCTTCTTATCAAGTTTTTTTTTTGAAGGTCAAACTCAAATGGATCTAATAAAAATATGATTAGAATACCTTCAAATAAAGTTTCTAAGCAAAAATATTTCATTTTTATGATTATAGAAACAATTTTATAGGTTTTGGAAAAACACCAAAATGCAGATTACCTACTTTTATCACATTCTTCTGCCATTTATAGTTTGATAAATAGTAAGTGTTTGGATATTTGTAAAGCAGCTATAACTCAGAGGAATCTATTCAACCAAATCTAACAATTCTCATTCTCATATAAAGAAACTGTCACTTGTACAAAGAATACACAGAAATGTGGAGACCATAATTTCACTTATAACTCCCATTAAATGCTCACATTTAAGAAAAAAGAGGGTCTCTTTTAAAGGCTAAAAGTTCTGAAGTACCAGTGGAGTGTGAATAATAAGCAAACATAATGGGAAAGCTAGAGCTCTCAAGAAAATATTTACATCTAATACCTTTAAATTGAAAAATCCCCTGTACTATAATACAAACTGTTAAACATTTAAATAAACCTGCTGTCTGAAATGGACAGGTATAATCAAAAGCTAAATGGCCACATTTTACATGTCCAAGAAATTCCCAATGTAGTAATATCAAGAACACTGGAAAATCTTGTCTATAAGATGCACAAGTATAAATAACTTACAACAAAAATTTAACCTTAATCTGATTGACCTAGCTTCCTACATGAACAAGTTAGAACTCATCTAATGATATACCAATAAAACCATTTTTGATTTTAATATCTATTCATTTTACACAAAGTAGGTATTTATGCAATCAATTTCCTTGTACACAAAAGATTCATTCTTCTGCTGAAGCAATATATGAGAAGTCGATAAACCACTCTGCTATTAAGCATGGAAAATTGAACAAAGGGACATGAATGCCAAAAAACATGGAGATTTGAATTACAGAGAATGTGTTTCCAGTTATAGTAGCATACAAACTTTGAAAACTGCTAGCTGAAAATATTTGTAAATGAAAGGATCATGATTTTGGGACACCTTAGCTTCAGATTGCCAAGGAAACAAACCAATTTTTTCTTCTATTGTTAAGTCACCTTGATAATTACTGCTTGTTAGTATAAAGAATAAGAAACAATAGCAAATTAGCATGGAAATTACAAACACAACGTGCGACAAATATTCTTCATTAACGTAACAACAGCAGTTACCCAGCTTACCCATATCAGCTTGGATGGGTTATATCTTTTTTCAAAAATATATTTCCATTCCCACCCTCTCTTCCACTTTTTATACTTACTTATATGTAAGTGTGTTGCGGGAATCAAATTCCGTGGACAATTCCTTTTGGCACCACTCTAACAGGTGTTTCTTTCCAACTCCCACGCTTCTTTCCTGTGGCGGTTGCTCTAAAAAAGACAAAAAATTGGTCCATTAGGTCAAAGTCTCCATCAACAGTGCCACAATGAAAGGCCCATGCAAGACCTCCTCAGAATGATTGTGTTCCCAGACATGATTTATTGTTGACATTGAATGCATCCATGGCACAAGTCTCCCGGTGTGGAATTAAGTCCGCGGATCACACCATTGTCCCACACACAATCTGAGTCTTATCTATCAATCTTATCCTCTTTTATATTACGCTCAAAAGAATGTAATCAGTTCAAGATCATAGTAACATTTACCTTCTTATATTAGTAAACAAATATCCCTTGAAGGTCAATTTAGTTAAGACTTACGTGTACAAAAATTTAATTTAAAATTTTAGAGAAAGCTTTTCCAGACTTTACAGAGATCTGACAATCTAGAAGGAAAACTATTTTGCTAACAATGAATTATTGTTAGTTTTACTGACCTTTCTAGGGAAAATGCTTGTTCAGGTGAGTTTTTAAAATCTGATGTACATTGCATTTTGGCACCAGCAATTTCCATTCATAATAAGCTTAATTAGACTAGGGTAAACACATGTGAATTATATGTACACTTTTGATTTCAAACCTATCCCATTAATGTAAAAAGGTGGCACAATCTATCAGAGTTTTTCTGACACATTTGAATGAAGAAAAACAAAAAAGTTATAACTTTTAAACTGACAAACAAAGGAAGTCATTTTCAGTTAGATAGTGTCAATATTTTTCAATAACAGAGAGTCCACAGTTTGGTCAATCTCTTATTAAATTTTGTTCTTCTTCACTGACAGGTTCTTATGGTTGTGATTGCTTTGAAGTATTCTATTTTCAAAGGTATGTTGACAGTATAGTCCAGGACTTAAAATCCTGATTAAAGCTACAAACACGATCTCTGACTTTTAATCTCCGGAGGAACAGAATCACATAAATACATATTTATTTTACCCGTAAAAATAATAATGCGCTATGCTACAAGTAAAAATAGAAAATTCTTTGAAATAGGATTTGTATTAAAGTCTTTATGCTAAAATTAAAAAAAATATTGAAGTTATTTATCTTGACTGATGTGCATGATGTTTTAAAATTAGAACAATATTGTGATAAAAGCTTAGGAGGTATGTAAAGATTAATGCCTCAGAACTGACCAAAAAAAAAGTTTTAAAGGACAGCAAAATTGGAGGAAAGTTGTACTTAATATTCAAGAAGCTACAAAAAGCACTGATAATGTACTATTCAAAATTAATTAAAGTCTATTTTCAAAAATCTATTTTAAATATAAATATTACCACAAACCTACCATTACCAATATCTTGGTTCATATGCCATTCACTTTCTTATAAATAAAAGGTATTTTACCATCCATTAATTTCACATTAAATTGAAATCACTCTCTCAATGACATCTAGTTATTATATATCTGAATCTGAATAACCCACCTCTTTTTGACTTATATACCTTAGATATGGCCGTTCCCTCATCTATTCCTAAATTCGCTGTATAACCAGTGTACAATCAGACTAGCATTATAAAGTCCTCAGACACTTGAGGCCTATTGAGGACTGTTTGCTTTCAGATAGGAGGGTGCTTACCTATATTGTGTATTCCGTAATTGAGAATGGTCAACCATAAAACATCCAACATGGACTTAACGTCTCCATCAAGTATATCTGTAAAATAAGGAAAATAAACAATGGAGGAAACATTCCTACTGAACAAACAGAAAGTGACAAACTTTCGCATTTTTATTTTTTTAAAAATGGTCAGGCTTGTTTGTGTGAGCTAAATCTTTACCTATCATGTTGATTTTTTTTATATCTGCATGAACTACTAAACAGCCTTGAAAAAGTACTCATCTGATAACCTTCAGTGACCATCTTCAATTTTGGGGACATCATTCAGTTTTCTCTGGTACTTGAAATTCGAGTTAAACATTTCAAGAAATTGCCATTCTATTGTCTTTTATGATCTTTAGACCTCCAATACAAGTTTTCAATCATTTATAGGCATTTAATCCATTGATTTGTCTTAACATTCATCAATGGACAATATTAATAAATTATGCCTGTCACTCAGATCTGATTAACAATATGTTTGGAAAACATGGTCAATATAAAACAAGTTACCGGTACCAGGTACATAAAAAGTGGTCATTAGATACTTTTTGATGTTCATCAACTATTCAAAGGGTCTATGATTTTTTTTTTGGCAATTCTGCCTCCTATATCAAAAATTCTTTTCTCCAAATATTTAAACTATATAAAGTTGCAATCTATACAATTCTTTTTCATAAGGTACTAAGACTGCAAATTTTTTTTTCATATAGCTTATTTTAAATTTTACCTGGAAATCATTTAACAGCATAAAGAATGAACAAAAACCTAATATGGAATGTTCATAACTCTCATCAATTTAAAAGAAGGGACCCGTGGTACACACATGAAATTTTTGACCATGATGCAAACCTTAGTGGTCTTAGAATTACAACAGTATAATGCTGTTTTCTTTAAAAGGTAGAGACTTACAAAAACTAATGCAGTTAATCCATAAGAAGCCTTTTCACTGAATGCACCGTATACCACATCCAATTAATAGAAGTAAAAGTAAGAATTATATCTCATCTGCAGCAAGTACATGCATGTATTCCCACTGTGTTAGATTGGCACGTACCTTTGTCATCGAGCGCGGGTAAGCTCTTACGCTTGAGTGTCCAACAAAGATGACACTAACATATTAACCAGGTTTATATTAAATTTAAAGACCGTCCCATAAAGCAATTGACATCTGTGTCTTTAAGTCAATATATACAGGTACAGGTAACTGTGAATTCTATCATTATCTACCGTTCTAACTGAGTGGAACAGCGTGCTCAAGACATAGGATATAAAATTTCCACCATTCAAATTATTATGTATCCAAGTCTCTGATAAAGATATCAACAAGCTTGGCTGTTACAAGACTACAGATCTTTTTAATTCAGTTAAAAGCCTAATTAATGAATACCTGCTTTTAGAAACAGGGTAGAATTCCACCAATAATTATCTTTAACTCCAGTCATGTTTATTTTAGCATGTTAAGTAATTATTAACTTAGATCAACCAATATATATGCAATGGCATGAACAATTTCAGAATTTAATTTGCAATTAAAGGAAAAATACTAGTACCCCGGTAGCTTATACATGGCTACAAAGATTTTTTTTCAAATCATCATTATGAAAGTGAAGATCTTACCAGATTTTACAATAATTCTTGTAAACACCAAAGTTATATTCAAAAGGTAAACAAAGTGGGCGTAAAAGTGAAAATGTTGTATATTCTTCATTATACATAAGCATAAGTTCTTATCTTGCCCCCCCCCCCCAAATTATGTTCAACATCTGCCACATTTTAAGTACCAGCATACTTTCTTCTTCTTCTTTTTTTTTTTTTACAGAAAATATGAATAAAAATTTATTTGGTTCTGTAATAGGGACATGCAGTGAAATTTTTATCTGATAAGCCCCTAATAACTTTTGAGGAAACTTCGGTATAGAAGAAAACCATGTAACCTTTGACCTTTTGACTTGAAAAAAGCAATACAGGACATGTCTATGAAGTTTGATGACAAGTACATGTAAAAGAAAATGGCTCTTCAGAAATTTTGGAAATTGATATGAATGTGTGTATAAGGGTAGCTGAAAACCAGGTGCCCTTTAACCTGAAAATCAGTATAGGTCACTTTGTCTACAAATTGACTTTAGAAGCTTTAATTAAGAAGTTGCTTTAAACACATTAACAATGATAAATCACCACACCAACACAGAATTCTCAGTTGGAATGGCTTTGATTGCTTCTAAACTGTCTGATATATATCCAACTATTCAAATAAATTTCTGGTTTATGTAAAAGAAAAGAAAAATCAAAAAATTGATTTTCCCTTTTTTGGGGGAGAGGATGCTTTTCACTGTGAAATGGCTGAATGGTAGAATTCTTATCTACTTGACATAATTTACACCTTGTTAATCACTAATCAATCTTCATAAATACTAATACTTGGTCCTCCAAGATAAGAAAAGACTGTAGAGGTGGCCTCAGATAAATGCACTTCAGTTGAAATGATAGTTCAAGTTTTGGGTATGGTACATAATGTGTGACAACATTCAATATCCTCTTTAGTTGCCAATGTGATTTTATCTATGAATAACAACCCTATAACATATCATATCATTATGCTATCAAATTCCAACAAATGAAAGCTTGAAAGTGTGTAATTGATAAATTCGATTCAAAAAATGATTTTTGAAAATGGTATCATAAGATGTTAAGAATTAAACTGTAATTTTTGTTTCAGAAAACATGTTTCATTTCCAATATAATGTTTCTTCCATAAAGAGCTAGCAATATGTGTATTGCAAAGTCAGTCCACTTTGATATCTACAGGTCACAAAGACATTGATAGACTTAATTTGTAATGTATAGAAACCAGATAATTTCCGATTACAGGTAGAGTCAAGTGGTGATATGAAAAATGTATAAATGCATAATCAAGAAGTTCCATTTACTTACTATTACCAAGAAAGTGCCTTCTCAGCACTCATATCAAGGACTTTTGATAATCTCTCTGCCACTTTGAACAAATCTGTCTGCATCTTATTTTAAGCACTAATGGCAGATATTCTTTGAAACTTTTCCAGAGTAATTTCTTCTTCATATAATGTTAAGTATCAAAATACCTACCTTGTACTTTGAAGGTAAACTTGACCTTGCTTTTCGTCATATGGTCAACCACTGCCTGGAGATAGTGCAATGCATCACAGGGGTCAGCCTCCTAAGACAAGCAATAAAAAATGTTTTGTAGATCATTCAAATTAGCTTTATTGACAAAGTTTATTAAAGTGACTTGTTTCATTTTTGTTTTAATCCTTTGGTGTAAAAACATTATTTTCCTTTCCATTTATTGCACTTTCTTTTCTATATGAGATTTAAGCCATACCTGAGCTGTCTGGAGGAGTCTGGAATCCCCACACAGGACATCAATGACTTGACATAGGGGTTTCCCCTCCTGGATGTTGGGAATTCCTTCTATTTCTTGTCCTATTTCACTCAGGATGGAGTTCATCCAAGACAGGTACACCTGACAAAACAGGGCAAAACTTGCTTGCTTTAAACAAAAATAATTTTTTTTTTTAAGAAATAAAAAGATTTTTAAGATTATGTATGCAACAAGACCAGAACATATAAAGAAGAATATGCATTATAATATAGTTTGTACATTATATATAGCTGGTCTATTTTAGTCAAAGAAAATGGTCCTATTCACTATAATAAGCATATTTACAATACAAAATATAGCACAAATAATATCTTTAAAAACATTCTTTGATAGATAAGGAGTCATCTAAAGAATAGTGACATGGAAGTTCATGTACTTGTAGAGGTGAGTTTGAAATTTAAAAACAGAGATGTTAGTATAGATCATAGCTATTTTCTGGGATAGAATTGATTCTCCTTTCTTGAACAATCAAAGGTGATACAAATGATGTTTCAAACAGGTTTAGACCTTGGCCCTGATCCCCAGTGATGCATTCATGCACTGCAGTATGATACAACGTATAATTTTGTGCAACCATAGTTCAAACAAAGTTGCCAAAAAATTACAAATCAATTTCATATGTATATTTATCAAATCTCCATAATACCCACACAAATGGATGTATATATATTAAAATTCATGATGATTTGAATGAAGATGATGAAAAGCTCAAGCTTATGCTACTGTGATAGTCAGGATAATGAAAACATATTTCAAAGCTGTACTCAATTGCACTTGTGAATTCTGCCTGTATAGCAAGTGCTCTTTCCATTTAAAATGGCTCTATTCTTAATGAATTCTGAACAATTCTATAGAAAGCTTATGAATACCCCAAACAATGCTGGACATTCCAAAAACAAGAAAACTAGCTGTAATCCACAGTGCTGTATGAGTAAAGAGAGTTTGTGTATAAAACTTTTGTCCTATCATTGCTTCATGCAGCTTGTTCTGACTCATCCATTTTTTTAAAAAAAATATATTGATTGCTTCCAACTCATTAAAATGAGTGACATTTAAACTTAAAACTTTGTCCTTAGAACAATTATATTTAGAGTTTCTCTACAGATTAAATGTTATAATTAAAATTAATTAGCATGCAAAATTGTACATGTAACTACATGTATTCGCTAGATACTTCTACGAATAGCATATATAATATATAACTAAAGGAAATTAATAATGAAAAACACATTTTAATAATAACTCTGTTATTATTATTATTATTTTTTTTTACTTTTTTCTTGAGGAAAAGGAAATTTTAATATTGTTGTAATGTAAATTAAAAATTATAGGCATGCAGGCTGGATTCTAGGCAAGACAATATACAGTTTATTGAACTTTACCCAATATTTACCTTTCTCTTGCTCATCTTTCACAATGTTTTCTAAACCTGATCATACATGTATAATCAATAACAAATAATTTTTGTTTTTTATACATCCTTAAAAATGAAAAAAGATACTACTGATGATACAAATCTTGGTAAAATATATTACCAAATTCTTCCTGCTATAAATATCTTTGTAAAGTAAATTAAAGATTTTTTACAAAATAGAAAACTGAATATGTATAAGACACCAAGGCAATCCAGGAGTTCATTATTCAAAATGAATTGTTTTCAGATACCACTTTTAGGTTTTGAAATTCTAGTAATTACATATTTTAGTTAAATTAGATAAACTCAGGGAAAATAAGAAAAAAATTAATATAATGCATAGTTTTACCGTTTTTTTTTTAAACGTAAATATCTTATGATAATTTGGTGTAACCCTTATCTGATTAAATAAAATAAATATTCTTACTTTTTTTAAATGCCTAAGTGTGCACAAAACTAACAACACGTTTAAACCTGCTAAACAGTTTTATGTCGATCAAATAATTAAATGCAGTGAAAATAAAATTTTCTAAATCATTTCTCAGTATAAATTTCAGGGTTTAAATTCCAAATCAATCAATGCAAATTTAACTTACCTGTAGAACTGACATATTTTAAAAATTTTTGCTCTGCTATCTATCCCAACATCACATTTAAATATCAGCGAAAGTGACTAGCAGCGAAAGTGCACTTAGTCGCCATGTGTAAACAAACGTCGGGCATATGGTCTGGGCATGCGCAACAGGTGCTCGTCTGCTTTTCCTGTTCCGGTTAAACATGAGCTGCAAGAAGATGAGATGCAGATTCAAAAACCTCATAATAGTTTATTGACAGGTTTTCCAGTGGCAATAAGGGTATATAGAAATGAATATTGTACATTCGTTATCATATCTGTTCAATATAAAAATGACCATATGTGTTGCAAGTATGTAGAATCAACCGAAGTGGGGTTTTTTTTTGTTTACATGGCTCAATGTACTGTTTTTATTGATCTCATTATTTTTTATGCAGTCATTTTTGTTACTCAGATGTAGACATTTAGCATCAGGTATTCAATTGAAAAAAGTTAAAGACAGTAGAAAACATCATTGACTTCTAGTGTTTAGATGGATATAGCTATACAGAACTGAAGAACTTTAAAAAAATCACTAATGGCATTATTGGAACTAAATATATAAATACAAAACTAAGAAAAACTGGAAACCAACCCCTTGAAGTTAAATTTGTGGAAGATTTCCATGTGTGGACACCGAACGGTATTCAATAGGGTCTGTATCTAAAGTTATAAACTTAAAGACATAAAACAGATCACCAACACTTCTTAGGAATGCAGCTGTAAATGTATTTAGTTGACCGTTTCGACCAGAAACGGTCGTCATCAGAACCTTCTGAAAATGTTAAAGTCATTAATCATAGGAGCAACAAGTCTGCCTGATTTTCAAAACTCTCTTATTTGCTTTCAGGGAGAAGTGAAGTCACCCTAAATTTTGGGTCTAGGTTGGTCCCTTCTCATGACATTATATGTAAGTTTTATAACAATATCTGAACTGCAAATTTTTTAACAATTAACTGCAATCTCTATTAAAGCAAGATGAGTTTCTTTTTCATTTGTGAACTTTTCTTTGGTTATTTTGAGAATTTGCTTGGGCAAAGGATTGTGACAGCTATAATTTGCTAAGGATTGTGGGTCCCTAATTTAATGCTGAAAAAAAAGAAATCATTTGGATCAATGTGCACAGTCCAAATTTTCTCTTCATCCATTTTTTTCTTTTTGCTTTAAGAACTCAGCACAAGTGGTGCTCATTATAAAAAGTGGTTTCCTTTATAGTGGGTTGATTTCCTATGTAAAAAATTAAGCTTTGCAAATTAATGTATATACATGTATACAGTCATGTATGTCTATGTATACCCAATTGTATAATCATTTACAAAACTTAATTAGACCATCTGCAGTGGATACCATGTTGAATTCACTAGGAATGGATTATGAATAACAATTTATCCTTTGATTCAGTGCAGACTAGGTAATACATACACATGCCATATATACTAACAACCAATGAGGAACTATGTAGAACATGTGCACTGACATAGTACAAATACAGAATTTCACCAACTGAAGGGACTTTACTTAAAAAGCAGACTTGTGTTCCTATTTAGGAACAATGTACTTATGTACATGAAAAATTAGTTTGATTGCTCCTTCATGTGCCTAATGTAACTTGGTTTAATATTGACGATCAAGTAGGATAATTGAAACAACATTTTATTTTCCTAGTTTTTACTGCTGAGAAGATATGATCTGGGATGTTGATTCTAATGGGATAGGCAACTCTCACAAGTCTTGCAATATCTCGTAATGTAGATCTATACTAATGGGAAAGGCAACTCTCACGATTAAGTCTCGCGATATCTCATAAGTTGTGGGTTTTAAATATAATATATTTCTAATGCTATCAAATATTTCAGAACAAAACATTAATTTATCTATCAAAAAATTATTCAAGACTTGTTGTTAGCAATGTTTATACTCCTTATCTTAGACAGTATAGCATAATTTTATTGTTATTAAAAATCAACACATGCACCTGATTAGCCGTATTTCCAAGAATTCATTGAATTTAGTGGTTGTTTTCTTTATATTTAAATTATTTTACAATGTATGCTCTAAAATTTGATAAAAATCCATTCCAATAAATAAAAAGAACAGATTACATTTATAGAAAACAAACTGTTTACTGGGGATAAACATAGTTTGAAAAACTTGTAGTGTCTTTTGTGATGTTTTAGGAAAATAAACATAGCGTTGAAGGACTAGAGTGGCCTATCCCATTAGTATATACATCCCTGATGCTTTAAACCACTTTATAGCTATATGGTCTTATTTGTAAGGAGTTAATTTTTCTAATCAGGGATTAATATACCTTGCATGCGGATCCTGTAGAAGGACCCTGTCCCAGTTGATAATTGACTCTTTTTCTTCCCAAAGTTAAAGTAAAAACTCCCAAATGACAAGCAGATGGAATTTTCAGAGCTTTTTATCAACAATATTGAATTTTGAGATTATATTAAAATGTGCATTGAGGATAATCCTACAATATAATTGTCATTATTTTACAGTAAAACATATATTTCATCAATATTTCCAAATTTTAAAACTTATTTTTAGATATAAAATTCCCCACTGAAAGGATTACCAGACCCTGTGCCAAAAGGGACAATTAAACCTCGCTAAAAGAAGATCCTGATTCTACGATGGCCGACAGCGGCCGCCACTTTTGATTCTGAATATTGTCATTTTGTACAGCTTTTTTGTCAATTTTCGTTGACAAATTACAACTAAACTGGTAATGCTATATGTCCATATACAGTTTTTACACTGACAATTTACACTGAAGAAAATCATTAAAATTCTTTCTTGTGATATGAAATGAAGATACATAAAACATGTTACTTGAAGGTGATAAGCTTAAGGTTCTAGCAGAACAGCAAGGTCGGGGTGATTACAGATTAGTATTGTCTTCTAGATATGCTTTCTCGACTGATTGTAGTAGTTATAATTCATAAAATTCCATGTTGGTGTACCTGTTGGTCACATCATAGGTAACCAGGATGAAATTTTCCAGGTCTATCAGAAATTTGATTTTGTTCATAATCGGACGTGTCTTTGATGTATGAATTTTGTGTTTTTTAAACAATGCGCACGAGGAAATGATCACATTAGTTACATGTACCTTCATTTTCATTCCCGTGCCACATTGAAAAATAATTGGCCGACCAGGTGGAAGTCTTGAGAGGTTGCGTTGGTCTTTAAATGTGTTTCAAGCATTTAGTTATTAATTTTATGTATTTAGAGAGCAAATACAGACTCCCACATTTAAGGTTGTCATTTTATTCTTGCTTAAAAACGGGTATATTTCCGTATCTAAAGTTTTGTTATTGATACATTCCATAAACTTTTGATTGGATGTTCACATGAAGAGCTATACTAAATCTTGTTTTTCTACCTCTACATAATAGGTAGAATCGAGTTGTCTCATACACTTTTAGGATCGAGATATATCCATTATATTCATGTATATCCATTACAACAAACGTATTACTTTTAAATATCTTTTTAACGATACAACAAGGTGATAGAATGACGATTTATGTCTAATCTAGGATCAACTGGGTTACGATATCTCAGACTAATTGAGGGTGAAAATCATTAAAATGCTCCTTATCTCTTTCAAGCCACCTGTTTTATGTATCTTAATTTCATATCACACGAAAGAATTTTAATGTTTTTCGCTGGTGTAAATTGTCAGTGTAAAAAGTGTACATGTACATATAACATTACCAGTTTAGTTGAAATATGTCAACCAAAGTTGACAAAAACGCTGTACAATATGACAATATTCTTAATCAGAAAGTGGCGGCCGCTGTCGGCCATCGTATGATTCACTAATTGAATCAAATTCTTTACTAAAGTCTGTTAATATAATTCTAATTCGTTCACCACAATCCATAGTATTTTGCCAACTTTCTGTTAGTTTCTGTAAGTGAAATTTGACAAGAATGAAATTTTCGAACTTGATTAGGATTGTGTTAATAGATCAAGTTTAGTATCTTTGGAAGCAAAATGAGGAAAAAGTGTAATTGACCAATATTAGATTTAATTCACAATATTGTCAGCAGTGGTATAATATGATAGCATGGAAATTAATATGTATATCATTGATTATAGACAATTTTTTGTTTTTACTCTGTTTAGAATTTGATCCTACAGTATCAAAAGGAAAGATCAGATTTCATTATAATGGAGTAAGCGAACAGCCAGAGACATGTCTACCTTGACAAACATGGATGCTCGGCCAAAGATGCACAACATCAGGGACCGACCTGCATACAAACATCCTCAACATACACAAAAGGCATTTGAGGTTCTCAACCATATGAGAAGGTAGGTTTTTAATGCGATATATTGATACTGAATGCTTATTACTTTAATTATTTACACAATTTATAAATAGATACTTATTATTTTATTTCTAAATTATAAGCAATTTTAAGATGCATTGAAAACTCTCTGTGAGATCTACCAGTAAATGGTGTTTAAGTTTACCCTTGATATGATACTACATGTATTTAAATGAATAATGCATGATGAAAATGAAACCAAACATAAAGTAATAGAATTTCTTTCATTTGTTTAGCAGCTATGTAAAATCATTCACAGAATTGATTGATTGACTTGCTAAATGAATTTTTCAGAGGAACAAATGAGAGGCTGACAAAATCTATTGATCAAATTTTTTTTTTTTTGGTATTGTTTTGTTTGGAAAGGGTGAAGTATAAGTTTTAAAGAGACAATTTAACGTGAATCGTATTACAAAAATTTTTTCCATGTTCTTTGAATTGTAGGCAGCATCTTCTGTGTGATGTAACAATTGTGGTAGACACAACAGAAATCCCCGCCCACAAAGTAGTGCTCTCCTCTTGTAGCCAGTATTTCTATGCCATGTTTACCGGAGACCTGGCAGAAGCTAAATCTGACAGAATCACACTGCAGGAAATTGACCCCAAGGCACTTGTTCAGTTGATAGACTTTGTCTACACTTCAGAAATCCATGTTACAGAGGAAAATGTACAGGTAAACACTTAACACCTTGATACTCTTATGAGAATGGCATGCATAATGGAGATAAAAGGAATGTGTTAAGTGATCTATTGCTGTGTAGTTTAAAGTGTTTAAGTGCTTCCAAATGCTGAATCAAGTCTGTACAATAACTCTGCTGAAATATGCTATTTTCATTCTGTTCTCAAGAAAGAAAATGGAAGTAAAATGTTTTTTCTAAAGAATGTAAATTCTCAACTAAGGAGACTTGCATTAACCCTAAGCATCTTCTTGAAACAAAGAATTAATATTTGTAGCGTAATAAGTAATAGTTAAGTGATTAATGTGTGTGTGGTTGTAATGATATTTCAGACTCTGCTCCCTGTTGCCAACATTCTGCAGATAACAGAGGTTAGAGATGCCTGCTGTGATTTCCTCCAGTCCCAACTCCATCCTTCTAACTGTATAGGAATCCGAGCCTTTGCTGACCTGCACGCCTGTACAGAGCTTCAGAATTATGCACAGACTTACACAGAACAACATTTTGTGTAAGATTAAACATTACATATTTAATAAGAATAACACTTGAAGTTTGTAAGAAAGACAAAAAGGTTGAATGAAAATGTAAGAAAGTTTCTAGATATTTTCATACTTAATGCATTTATCAGAAATTTAAGATAAAATCCTTTCTTAACAAGAAGTTTACTGATGTGATGGAATAGTTTACTGATATGATGGAATATTTTCAGGGATGTTGTTCATTTTGATGAATTCCTTTCATTAAATGTGGATCAAATTTGTAAGCTGATTTCCAGTGACAGGTTAACTGTTGTCACAGAAGAACAGGTAAGACAGAGGGGATGTAACTCTTACAATCACTTCAGTGCTCTATAATGTTTTCTTTCTTTTTTTTTCTTTTTTTTTGCATATACTTACTGGACTTCAGTGTAACATGATTTTTTAAAAAAGAAAAACAATAAAATAAAACAAGAATTAAAAGATTTTTAAACTTCATATGTTTTTATTATACCTCTACAGATTTTTCGTTATATAAGAGTAAATCGATATATTTTGCTGATTCCCTGAAAATCACCGTAAAAAGACTGATTCCTTGCAAAAAGGTGCATCAGTTTGATGAACTGATACACACCTATTCGGAACACCTAGCAATTTCTTTTAATCATACGAAAAGTACCGATATGTTCCAAATAAAATCATGAATATTCATAAAGCAGCTCTGTTAATGATACATATAGGGAGGTGGGGCCTAATTTATACGGGAAATGAGTATGCATAACTTATTGTGACGTGGACATGCATGGTTACATATGTGCACTCTCAACTTTGTCATGGTGTAAATGAAATTGTTTATAAAATACATTTAAAAAGAACATTGCTTGCAGTTGCATGTATTTTATAGACCATTGATTCAAATACAATTAAAGACCTTCTATTGAATTTATTTATTTTATCTACATTCTGAGTTTCCATTGCACCTTATATATACAATTGCCCTGCATATAAAATAGAATTGCAGTTATGGATTTTAAAAATAGTCTAATTTTAGTATCGGTATAGTAAAACAGTTAAAGTATATCATTGAGGGAGTTGGCAAGATTCCAGTTCCCCTTGAGTAAGCATATTTCCCTTGGCTGTGCATCGGGAAATAGACTTGCTCTTGGGGAACTGGAATCTTGCTGACTCCCTCAATGATATACTTTAACTGTATAATGTCTCCTTTTCAGGTTTATGAGGCTGTGTTGTCCTGGGTGCAACATGATTTGACCAATAGACAACAAGAAATTGCACTATTATTAGAACATGTCAGACTGCCATTAATAACCCAGGAATATCTGGTTCAAAAAATAGAGGAGGAACCATTAGTGAAGACCAGTAGTCGATGTAAGGATTTCCTTATAGAGGCTCTAAAGTATCACCTTCTGAAATCAGACCAGAAAGCTGGATACAAAACTCCCAGAACACTGCCAAGAACACCACTAGGACTTCCCAAGGTACAAACGTTTTTATAAACAGAGATCAAACTTTAAGAGGGTCTTTACATTTCTTTTTATGTTTCGTCTATGTAATGTAAAGTTGAGGCTTTATATTAGGTCACTATATAGACAGATTTAGATCACATGAGGAATTGTGACTGAAGTCAATTAGACCATACTGTTGAGAGAGGTAACTCTGAATACCATTTCCATCAAATTATCATATGGAGTTCTAATAAGGATTTTGTAAGCTTAGTTTCCCAAACAAGGATTCATATTAAATATATATGTTATTTAAAAATAATTTAAAATGGAGAACATATAGGGTTACCCATGTCCATCTTGGATTCTCTGCAGCACAATAATCTGAGAAGGGTTAGGTTTGGAATTTCAAGTTTTCATCATTAGTTGGTCTGAAGAAAGGATTACCTAGGATTGCATTTGAGGTTATGGTCAAAAAACATTTAAATTTTTTCTCATTTTATTTTAATTTGTTTTGCATTTCCAGGTTTTGTTGGTAATTGGAGGGCAAGCACCAAAAGCTATTAGGAGTGTAGAAAGTTATGATTTCAAGGAAGAGAAATGGCACCAGCTGGCTGAGATGCCATCAAGGAGGTGTAGATGTGGTAAAAATAACATTTTACATTGTGCATTGTTATTTGCTTTCGAACAATGATACTATATCATCTAATATTTGTGACTTTTCATTTGCAATTTGTTTGTTTGAAATCCTTCTGTGACTATTTATGTGACAGGGTATGGAACAAAGTACAGGGTATACAAAAAAGTTAAAGGAATTTTCAATTTCATGTTTAGGTGTGGCTGTGATAAACGGACTTGTATATGCAGTGGGAGGATTTAATGGATCTCTGAGGGTCAGGACTGTTGATGTTTATGACCCTGTCAAAGACATGTGGACATCATGCCCCAGTATGGAGGCTAGGAGAAGTACATTGGGGGTTGCTGTATTACATGGGAATATATATGCTGTTGGAGGATTTGATGGATCATCAGGTAATTTGTCTTTGATAGATATCATTCTTTGGGCTCTTATTTCTCTATCATGGGTTATTAGTTGCAGAGTTTTTAGCTTGTTTACTTTTATACATAGTAGAACATTAAGTCAAATGATTGAGTTAGGTTTTATGTTTTTTTTTAATTAAATCAATGTCACTGATTGACTTGTATGTTAAGGATCAGTTTGTTGTATGTTTGTCGAGTTCAAGAGTACATAGGAAAAACTGTACCCATCTATCTGCACTTGTTATTTCATGTCTCAATTACCACCACTTCATTAAGTTCTACATTAATTGTTATAGGACTGGACACGGCTGAGTGCTATGATGTTCGCTGTGGAGAATGGAGGATGATAGCCCCTATGAGTACAAGGAGGAGCAGTGTAGGAGTTGGTGTTGTTAATGGTATTGAACTTCGAACTCTGTCTGAAATTTGAAATTAATTTAAATTCTAAAACAATCTAAAATCGATATGCTGATAATCAATCTATTGATGAACATGTAGATGCTAAATTTCTGCTAGTGCACTCTACAATTATGTCAAAATTGGTAGCTAAAGGCACCCATGCTGTTATAAAAAAAAAAATTATGGATAGCTAGTGGAAATGTTTTAAATAAAATTCTGAAATATTTATTGTTGTAGGTATGCTGTTTGCAGTGGGAGGTTATGACGGAGCTTCCAGACAGTGCCTGAGTTCTGTAGAGTGCTACAACCCAATGACAGACATGTGGACACCAGTTGCAGAAATGTCATGTAGGAGAAGTGGAGCAGGTTAACTTTGGATTTTTATGAATAACATCACCAGATGCTGAGATTTCTTTCTTAAGATGAAGGTTTCTTAAGTGTGGGAGCTAAAATTTATCTAAACATGGTACACGGGGGGACCTACTGCGATCTGTTTTTGTCCGTTATTGTGCAGGTGTGCATTGTGCATAAACTTTTCACATTTTCAATTATTTCTCAAGAACCACTGGCCCAATTTCATTCAAACTTGCCACAAAGTATACTTGGGTAAAAGGGATTTAAGTTTGTTCAAATGAAGGGCAGTACCCCCTTCTAAGGTGAGACAATCAAAAATGAGATCATTTAAAAACCTTCTTTTCAAGAACCACTGGGCCAGAAGAGATGAAACTTGTATGAAAGCTTCCTGACATAAAATGTAGTGTAGACTCAAATTTGTTCAAATCATGGCCCCCAAGGGTAGGGTGGAGCCACAGAAGAGGAAGTTTACATGGAAATATATAGAAGAAATCTTTTAAAATCTTCTCGAGAACAGCAAAGCCATGATTGGTCATACTAATATGGAAGAATCCTCAGGTAGTGCAGATTTAAGTTTATTTAAATCATGACCCTCAGGAGTACATGTAGGGTGGGGACACAATGATGATCAAAATTTTATATAGGAATAGATAAGAAAAATCTTCTTCTCAAGAAGAGGCCATGAATATTCATATTAATATGGAAGCATCCTAAGGTAGTGTAGATTCAAGTTTGTTCAAATCATATCCCCTAGGGTCAGGGTGGAGCCACAGTAGGTGAGAAAAGTTTTACATAGGAAAAAATTTTAAAAATCTTCTCAAGAAGAGAAAAGTATTTTTAATATGGAAGCATCACCAGGAAGTATAGTTTTAAGTTTGTTCAACTCATGACCCCCAGGAGCAGGGTTGGTCACAATGGGTGATCAAAGTTTTATACAGGAAAAATCTTTAAAAATTTTCTTTTCAAGAACAGAAAAGCCACAATAAGTCATATAAATTTGGAAACATCTCAGGTAGTGTAGATTCATGTTCGATCAAATCATGACCTCCAGGGCAGCTAGGATGAAGCAATCAAAGTTTGGGCAATCAAAGTTTTACATAGGAATATATAGGAAAAATCTCTAAAAATCTTTTTCTCGAAAACAGCAAAGCCATGATTGGTCATATTGATATGGAAGCATCCTCAGGTAATGCAGATTCATGTTTGTTCAAATCATGACCCCATGGGATAGGGTGGGCCCATAATAAGGGATCAAAGTTTTATAGGGAATATGTTGGAAAAATCTTTAAAGATCTTCTCAAAAACAGCAAAGCTATGATTGGTCATAATTAATATGGAAGCATCCTCAAGTACCGGTAATGAGATTCAAACTTGTTCCAATTACCTAGGAAGAGTGGGGCCACAATTAGGGATCAAAATTTTATGTAGGAATGTATAGGAAAAAAATCTTCTACTCAAGAACACCAGAGCTATATTAAACATATTAATATGGAAGCATTTTTGGGTAGTGTAAATTTAAGATAGACTTTAAAAAGATTTAAGTTTGCTCAAATCATAGCCCTCAAGGATGGGTAAGTGCCACAATAAGGAACAAAATGGGAATTTAAGGAAAGATCTTCAAAATTCAAAAAGAACAGCAGGGTAATGAAATGCCAGAATAGATCCTCAGGTAATGTAGATTCAAGTTTGTTCCAATCATGGTCATGGGAGAGGGTGGGGCCACAATTGGGGATCAAGAGTTTTATGTTGGAAGAGGAAAAAAATCTTTGAAATTGTTTGGGTGGGTGGGAGGGGGAGGATCATATATTGAAATTTATTATACAGTGTTCCTAATTATGTCATTTACTAATGAATTTATAGGGGAAAGAAGCAGAAATTTGATAATGATTAAAGTGTTCTCATCAAGCTGTAAAATGTATATGTGGTATAAGTCTAAGCCAGTTCCAGATGGACCCAAAGTGGTCATAGCTTAAAAAATCAATATATTAATATATTGGTTGGTTGTAATTTACTTATCTGTCTTACAGGTGTTGGAGTTGTAGATGGGTTGTTGTATGCTGTTGGTGGCCATGATGGACCTCTTGTTAGAAAAAGTGTAGAAGTTTACAATCCTGAAACGGACAGCTGGTCACAAGTCAACGACATGCATCTGTGTCGAAGAAATGCAGGTAAAAGGTCTAGGGAATGAGGTTAACATGTAAATTTGTGATTTGTAGATATCTTGATTGAGGTGTTGTTTAATAACATAAATCTAATGAAAGAACCTTTGTAATTGCCTATGCAAGTGAAAAAAAATCTGAGCTAAATAAATAGCACACTTTTCAAGTAGTTGATACATGTATCATTGCACCAATCTTTTTTTTAATAAAATTGTCATATCCTATATAAGACACAAAGAAATTTTTTACCATGTAATTCATGTACATGTATTTAAATATTTGTATAGGTTCTTTGTTGATTTTTGAGAAAGAGTTGAATTTTTAAAAGGACTCCAACATACTAGTAATTTTATTGAACTTGATGTGTAGGACTTTGTTATTGTGTACCTAGCAATCAGATGTTCTTCACTAGTTGGTCCTAGTGGCAAGTCCAAATTATGAGAAATGTCAAGCTCTGTCTGTTTGCAGTTTATTGTATCATTTCTTTACAGGTGTTGTAGCAAATGGTGGTTTTCTGTATGTGGTTGGAGGGGATGATGGATCATCAAACCTAGGCTCTGTTGAGTGTTTCGATTATAAAACCAACCAGTGGACATTGTTATCTGCCAGTATGATGACTGGGCGGAGTTATGCTGGGGTTACAGTAATAGACAAACCACTACTAGAACTCTAGCAGGACGCAATAGAAAATTGTGCTTCTACTTTTATTTCGGTTATTTGTACATGTAGTACATGTATGTCTTCTAGAGTGAAACTCAAGGGAGAAAACTCTGTTGGTCCTACATTATAGTTCTGAAAAGCATTGCGGAAGAGTTACATATCTGTGATAACAATTGTGTAATTGATGTGCAATATTTAATGGCATGACATTTGTTCTGTTTTGTGATGTATGACCTCTAAGGTATATGTATTTCAGTATTTTTAAGTGTTAAATGTTACTCATTGAAGTTTACATGTAGATTGTTGTGTGTATAAATAATGATTAGTGTGTAGTTTGGTGACAAAATCAAGTCAGTAGTACCCTTACTACTGACTGAGAGATTCAAAGATACTACAGGTACTTAAGGAAGTTTTCCTTTTTTACACACAGTAGGCAAAAATTACATGTACTTTGTCATAAGTTATTTTATTGTATGATTTCCAGGTTTGTTAATGATTATAAGGTCGATTAGATAACAGAATGCATGTCTTATGGATAATGAACAATCTATTTCAGGATAGGTGCAGTATTAATGACTGTTACTTGATCCAGACTTTCCCATACTTCATTACTTTCTGTATCAAATATTGGTAGGGAACTGAAATTTAGATGAGTTTAATTAGATTATATCGAAATATTGATAACATATATTTATCTAGTTTTAATCTATAATTTTGTTTAGCTTGAAATGGAGTTGAGAAATATTAGAGTTTTAAGCGTAAACTTTTTGTTCAGTAAGAATTTAAAATATTTTTTCTTAACAAATGATTAACTACATGTACAAGTGTGTACAATGTAATGGGTAATTTCTTCAATTTTTTAAGCTCTGTAATATTTTCTGCTTCTGTCAGAATCACAAAATATGAAGTAATTTTTGAACAAGGATCACAAAAATTAAAGCACAATAAAAATAATACTGCATTTGTGGGAACAAATTACAAAATATAAAATCAAGCCTCAGAAAACTTCATGTATTCTTTTACTTTTAACAATCATGGCATAATCATGTACTGTGAAGTATCATGAGTAAGTTTTAATATAAGGGACCAAACAACTTGCACTGAAGTGGGTGGACAATGGGGCCATAATGTATCATTTTCTACAAGTAGCGAAAATGTAATAGTTGTTCTAGATGTCATTTTTTGTTTTTTGGAAATTTTAATTGAAAGGTATATGTCAATAAAATACCGTAGAAGACAAGTGTGAATGTAAATCAATACTAAAATATTCTCAGACTTTAATGAAGTTTAAACTTTTCAAATAAACTTGCTGATGTGCATTTGATGCCAGTAGTAATATTATATGGGTTTTTCTCCATTGACAGCTCTTTCATCAGTGTAAATGGACATGGAACCCAAAGATTACCAATAAGTGATATGAAATAGGCATATTTATATTTCTGAATCAATAATTAGTGCAAGTAAATAAGGAAGGGTTATGTGGGTGGATTTTTATGGAGTAGTGTGTATTTGTATAAATATTAAAATATCAATGTCAATGGTCACTTTTCAGACATAGATTTTACTGTTATAACCTAGAAATATAATATCCACAGGACTTTCTCTATCCTTGATCAGCCATTGGATGTTTTTTTTTTCTCGTTTTTTTGTTGTTTTTGTTTTTTGTTTTTTTTTGATAAATAGGTTGTAGATTTTTATTTTGACAGGAACCAGTGATATAATAAAGTTTATCTGTGGGATCAAAAGACTGTGACTTTTGTTTTTACTATTTTTATCCATCATGGTACACTGTACTATTTACTTAAATGCATTACTTTCCAGAAAAAAGAGTTTTTAAGGATTTAATTCAAAGATTGTGAATCATTACAAATAACTTGTGTATGAAATATTCAAGATATTAAGAGGATCCAGTGAAGGAAATCCTAGATCTCGTAAACTCCTAAATGATCGCTGCATGTTTATAGTGCATTTAATCTCTTCCTTAGATTATTTGACAATGCCTATTTCATGTATATTGCAGAGAAACCAAACTTAATGTTCATGTTCAATTATGTGCATATACTTAGATATTGAAACTAAATTATGTAAAATAAAGCACTGTGTTAACCTTTTGTTGGATTGAGTGAAGATTTATCACTAGTGATAGATTCAGTACAGTTTTCAGATTTTAAGGTTTTGAATTTGTCAAGGTGCATAGCTTATTAAAGAAAAATGATAAATGATAACAAATTCCACAATAAACGTACGCTTGAATACCTCAATCATTTATGGGTTTAAGTGTGCCTTTTGCTGAAGAGACTATACAATATTTAGTTCAAGTTGAAAAGGTACGTTTCATTAGGTTACAAATTGCATTCCTGTTCTTTGCCATGCAATGATGCTTAAACTTACAAACATTTTCAGCATTTGTTCTGAAATGCCTAAACCAATTTCAGTTATTTCATTTTGAGCGCTTGTGTTATAAAGTAAATGGAGAAGGTAGTTTTGAATTTCATAGTGTTTGGAAGCAAAGGCAGGAGGGGGAGAGGGGACAAAAATTTTATGCAATCATCAATTTTCTTCATTTATCTTCTGACATCAGGCAGCCAAACTGTTAGCCCCTTGGTCCAGGAATCAGCCACAGTTTGGGACTATAGGCATAGCCATAAACTGAAAATACAGTGCACAAGCTGTCACACCTTTAAAAAAACTACTCTGTCTTACAGACAAACTGCATTTTTATGAAAACTACTTAACCCTATACTGTAAAACTGGTTTGGTACGAAAATTGACATATTAAGCTTCATTGTGCTTATAGTCTGTCTAACATGAGCACTTTTACCACACCTTAAATGATGATAAATAAATTTTGAAAATATACTTGATTACCATTTAAGTTTCATCATTTCCATACTATTTTTAGTCAGATTGAGTATATGAAGCTTGAAATAATTTTTCAAAGTCTACAGAAATTTGCAATATTAATTTTTGCCATTGCTCTTAAGCCCACAGAGGAGTTGTGTTATTTCCATAGATTATTTCAAGTGTGGCATATTAATCAATTCCAAATGTGCACCACATTATGTTGTCACTGATGGCAAGCTACCTAGGGAAAATTATTTTAATGATGAATATATATAGTCTTTCTTAAGAAGCAGCCATTTTCATAATCTTGAAATCTTGTTATTTTTAAGTTGCTTTCTTATTAATAGTTAAACTAGAGAGTTCCTTTCAAAGCAAAAAGTTGTGGGGGGATGCTCCATTGACAGCCCAGTTTGCAAGTCAATTTTTAAAAAGATATATAATGCATAAAGTGATACGACATTGAAATGGTGATATTGACTTTTAAGTATAATGGAACACATGAGCATTGTAGCCCATGGGCCTATATGTTTTTGTTTTTTTTTGTGAGATTTTTCTGACTATACATAATGGCCAATATTCTAGGCCTATACCTTTTACAATGTTATATTAAGAGTTTCTTCCCTTTATGCAGTGGGTGTAACACAAATTGATATATTATGATTATTTGGATTATTTTTATTAGGTATATTGAATCAGGGACTTATATTGAAGGGCAATTTTTTAAAGGCAATTAATTCATTCATTACACAATTCCAGTCGTTGAATTAATTGATCAATATTAAATATAGGAGGTATCGAACACAATTATGATATAATATTTCAGGTGGTAAGTCTTTGTTACAGCCTATTACTTAACTAAAAGAAAAAACAATCAAATATGAAGACTGTTTAAGATTATAACCTGTGATCTTTGGTTGATTTGGTATCGAAAAAAAAAATAAATGAAAGAAATGAAATTATTTTCATTTCAAAATCCGCGCCAATTTAACCGGAAATGTAATTTCGAGATATTCCTAATAGCGCTGTTCCATCTATTGGACTAAAGTCCTGTTTTGAATAATAATTGAAAACATTTTAGGACATGGGACAAAGTACTAGTAAATGATCGTTCGTGAAATGATGTTTTTTTTTAACATTGTATATTTTGACTTTTTTTTTAGCCTTCTGATGCCGTCAATTATATTTTTTATGTAGGTTTTACTTTCTGCGCACTCGCATCATGGAACAGCAGGTTCAGTATTTGTTGTCAGTAGATACATGCGCTCGGATATGAATTTAATGATGAAGACTAATTACCATTAATTTTTTGCATCCATTTTACGATTATGCATCAATAGGCTGCTGTTTTGTGAAATTATCAACTCCGATCTTTACCAGAAGTCTTCTATCCAGTTTTTTGTTGGATTCGTTTTTACGCTTGTCAGTTCGAGTTTGTTCAACATCCGTTCGTACGTGTTTCTGTTCGTCGGATTTTCAACCGATGTGATGACTGATCAAATGGTGACACCTGTGATTTAAATTGTAATTGCAATTGCAGTCTTATTTTTAGTTGTTTACTTTTGGTGTTCAAGGAGAGAGAATAGAAGTTGAAGAAAGTATTCAAAGTAATTGCATTTGATTTTTTGGTTGCAGCAGACGACCTGTTAGTGATACGTAAATTACAACAAAAGTTATCTCCAGTATGGCCTGATAATTGGACTACTTTATTGCTGTAAGGTAAGTTTGGTGATGAAAGATTGCAACTCAAAAAATTTGTCCATATAGATTTCTTGAATTGTTTCTATGAATATGACTTGAAGAAAAATATTATTTTATTCAGTTAAAACAATGAAAATCAGTCATTTGAATCAAGTCTTTAAAATTTAAATATCTCTTCTTTTTTTTTTTTTTTTTTTTAGATTTTTATTCCAAATTTACTACTAAATGTAATTCAGACAATGCATCTTCCATTTTATGCAAGCCCCAAACGTAGGCTGAACAAAACAAATCTGTGTGCGTTAATTAGCATGAAGACTGCAGGTCTTAGTGCAGTAACCCTACATTGTATTTTTTTCTTATCAATTTCTACACCGAGTTAAAAAATACTGAAGAACTAACAATCTGTGTAATCTATTCTGTTTACTGATACACATTTTTCAGTTATGAAGCTAACATTTATATTTAGTGTGCTACTTATTTTAATTATATTTTTGTTCATGTATTTTCATGTACTCATTTGAACAGAATTTAATTGCATTTAACTTTTATGACCACAACTTTTAATTCATTAACTCATCAAAACTTTTTCAAAGTGCTGTAGGAAGTCCATGATTGTTGATACATATGAAGAAAAATGTCCAAAGTAAGTGAAGGTGACTTTAAAGGTACATGTACCATATATATAAAGTTTTTGTCATATGTAATGCATGGAACTTTCATGGCATGGAAACATTTAGCTTACCAATATACAAGTAACTTTGCTAATTATGTGTTGATTTTAATCAATCTGTGCCCAAAACTTTTTAAAGACGAGCCTCATGATGATCAGAGAATATTTTTTAATGTGCTCTTTGATATGTAATTATTTGAAAACATTTTAAATTTAAAATGGTCAGGGGAATAAGACATTTTCTTCAGACAAGGGTTGGTGTTAATATGAGGGATATGTCAGTTTCTGGTGCAGATTGTATTATATGTTGTGAATATAAAGTTTCTATTTCTGTGTATATATCGTGGGAGGTGTCATTTCTCTTTGGTAAACTTATTCAGTATCCATGTCTATGTATTGTCTTTACCAACTTAAGAATAGTATATGCAGGGGTGTGCAATTACCATCGCCCGACGCCCGGGGCTATCAATTTTAGACGTTGGGCTATGATAAATCTATACTGCGTTAGCCCGTTGGGCTAGTATATCTAAAAGGAAAGTATACTTATATTTTCGTCGACTGAATTAATGTACAAATTAAATTTGTTGTAAAATCATAATCTTTTATTTGTTTTAACCTATATGTATTGTGTGTTGCTATCGCCAGTCGTTTCAGTGACAATTATAGTTGATAAAAATAGGGAGAAGTACCTGACAATAACAAAGCGCAAACCATTATTTGTTTTATTTATTTCAAGTTTATTGGATTTTTTTTACCTCTTTGTTATACTTGTACATGTATTGTTTTCGGTAGTTAATGGGCTAGTGACTAGCAACCTCGGGCTAGTAACTTTGTTACTGCCACTAGCCCGACGGGCTAGTAACTAATTTTTGTAATTGCACACCCCTGATATGTATTACCACATACAGCCAGACCACATTATTTTGAACTCAGTGGGAACAAGAAAAAACTTTAAGATATATGAGAGTTCCAGATACTGAAGATTAAAGTACAGCAAAGAAGAGTGGTTGTAACTTCTAAATGACTTGAAGATATCCATGGTATTCAAGATATCAATGTGCGAGATACAGAAGTTCGACTGTACCCAAAAAATCAGAATTCTATTGTTAAAGGTTTATCTTTTGTATTTCTCTAGTCCTGGTATTAAAAAGCACAGGAATCACAGGGGTATGAATATAGTTTTTGCTAATTATATATATCTTTTCAAAAATTAAAACCAAAAAAAAAAAAAAAAAAAAAATCATTCTCTTATACTTACAGTTTAACACTAGATGCAGTTTATTATTTTTTTTCCATGACTTTAGGTGAAGGAAATAGACAACACTCCATGAGTTGGTTACATCAGTGGATAATTAAACAGTAGATGTGATTTGTATTTTTTGATATTATTTTTGCATGTCGTAAACAAATGAATGATAATTAAATATTAAAATTCTGGGAGACATTAACCTCAAAATTATGAACACACATGAAATTTAAATTGCTAATGCAAAGTTATTAATCTGCATTCCAAGGAAAACAGAATTTTGTGCTCCAGAAATTTTCTTTTTTTAATCCAAGGGTCATTTGTTAATACCTAGTTTGTTGACAATTTATTTAAGTTGTTTACTTGTTATTCATAATACATTTGTAAATTTAACTTCATCAAGTGTTTTCATCTCATTTCTCTGCACAATGAATTAAAACTAGAAACATGGCTTGGTCATTCATGTCCAGTGTTCATTATCCCTATTAATATGGGTTTTAATCTGTGAAATAATTTATACAGCTATAATGCTGTAATAATATTTTGGGTATTGTCCAGGAATTAGCAATACAAAATGTACGTCAAACCCACAATTCATGTGCACAAAGCACAACAGCCTCATAAAGTTGTTTGACAAAAGTTCCTTTAAAACATGTGTAAGATTATTTTGTGCTCATAATTAACATAGTGTAAGTGCTTCAAACTTGAAGATTGGGATCAAATAATAGAAAATATGTCTCTTTGATTTTGACCCTGAAAAATAAATGTACATGCATTCAACTGCAAGTGAGACAGTGATTGTGATTTTTACTTTGTTGTCTTGTCAAAATGAAATAGACTGTTAAAATTAATTAGTTAACTGAGCAAAATGTTTATTGTTTATATATTTTGATAAATATATTGGTTCCATTGTAAAAGCAATAATCATATTTTTATTCTGAACAGATTTAATTTTTGTATATTTTGAGAAGTATTGAAATTTGAGAATAAACCTTTAAGATGTATTCACATTCACTTGCAGTGTCACTTCAAAAGCATAATAGTACTTGCAGATATGAGCATATTTATTACTTTAATAGCATACATGTACCTGTAAAGATGTATAGAAATTGTGTACAATGAAACTGACAGTTTTTCATTAATTAAGTACAGCACACTCCAATGCCATAAAGAGATATCATTCAATACAAGGTAAAGCGTAGATGACAAGTCCTATTCTGGTGCTGTAAGATAAGGCTTCTCTATAACTGAACGCTATAGCATGAGTCTGTCATCCATGTTTTTCAGACTCTTCAAGTGAGAGGAGCATCCCTATTACGAGCAATGGAGAAGTATGAGAATCTAGGACTGGTGGGGGAGGGGAGCTATGGGATGGTTCTCAAATGTCGCCACAAAGAGACAGGACAGCTGGTAGCTATCAAGAAATTCCTGGAGAGTGAGGATGACAAAATGGTCAAGAAAATTGCTCTCAGAGAAGTCAGGATGCTTAAGGTAAAGAAAAAAGTTCACGTGGTACAGGGGTTCCTTTACTACTTTTCTAAATTGAGGTTTTGAATAATTCCTATTTTATACAAAAATGTAGTTTAAGTCATCAATTTAACTCTCAGTCATATCAGTAGTCTATCAACAGAATCTGTTATTCTTGTGATACCATTGTATTAATTTTGTTCACATGATAATGAAATCAGGAAAATTAAAAAAAAAAAATCCGTTAAACCAATGAAACCTAATGAGATTAAAATGACAACTATTTCAGATAAGGTTTTTTGTATGTTGTCCACAAATAAGAAATAATGTAATAATAAATATCTAACTAAGATAATACATTTTTTAAATGCATGAATAGAAATATATGTCTTAAGTTATGACAGTGCATGCAAGTGTGATGTAATTTTTTTTTTTTGAGCATAAACATCTTCCACTATAAATAAGTCTTTCTTTTGATATGAAAAAGTAATGTATATACATTGTAATCTATTGTTCCTGTATCTTTTCTGCATGGCAAAGAAAAACAAATTTTCATATCTATGAAAATGGTTGTGCAAATATATGTCAATATTGATATATTAGCTTAGGATTAAGTATTGAAATTTAATGCTATTACTGTAGTATTATCCGAATGTGCATTTAAGGTAAATATATCAGCTTTGGATTGGTGATCATTGTTAAGCATAGTTCAATTTACATTGGATAATCAGCCAGTTCTTCATATTTTATGATCTGATTTGATTTTATATGTATTTGGTTATAAATTGTATATCTTTTATTGGATTTCAAAGTGGATGCCAGACAGTTTCAGATAATGATTAAGTAGTGAAATTTTGACAGTTTAAATATATCAATAAATCAATTTTTTTCTGGTCCACATTATAAAAAATGAGCCCCCCCCCCCCCCCCCCAAATGTTCAAGACATGAACAAAAATTAAGAATGTTTATTACTTTGTTATGTGGAGTTGTAAGTCTCAATCTTCACATGATTATTTTAATGGGGTATTTTGTAAAAAAAAAGCAAATGTATACATAGCCTCACTAACTATTGACAGGGTTTACCCTAGATTTACAAAGAATTTTTTAATGCATTAAATTCTCCAACCTTTGTTAAGTTGATTAATGTTATTAAATGGCTCAGCGGGGTTTCATGAAAACTTTCTTTTCATGAAATACCCTTACATTACAAAGTAACTTGATGTCATTTATTTTTAATAATGATGCAAAGAATGTGCCTTTAATCTTTGTTTCTGATAACCATATACTCGTAGCTATGGTGTTCAGGGTAAATAAGGGAGTGGTTGTATCAGTCTGACAATCCATTAAGCTTTTGTACACTATATTGTATGACACTAAATGTAGAAAGATAGAAATGTATGTTAATTTGATTTAATTTTTTAAACATTATCTTGTTTGTTGCTTGGGGGGGGGGGGGGTATGTATGTGTATATATATATATATATATATATATATATATATATATATATATATATATATATATATATATATATATATATATATATATATATTATACCTATGCTCTAGATTCATAGATTGAATCACCCTATAGTTTTACAATAGGTGTACCCTAATCAGAAGTTACTTTTGAGAGACCGACTTCATCTGTGAATCATCAATGACTTTTTCAGGGAGAGGTCTAATCTAGAATCAAAACACCAATCTTTGGGTTGATGCACCCATCTTTAATTTTGTTTCTTATACTTTTAATATGGTTGAACATATCTACTGGGTTTTTTTATTTAGGATTGCATATAAGATTAGACTAGATAAACAGGATATCTTTTCCTTTTCTGAAGGAAGGTTAAGATCTTTTCCTTTAAAATGATGTTAGTTTGTCATGTGAACAAATTATATTTGCATGGTAACATTTACTTTGGTTAAGGAACAATATGTATGCTGGTCTCATCTTGCTTTGAAAGGTCATCAGCAGTTAAGTTAAACATAAAATCAAGAAGTCTGCACATGGTCATTAAATATATTGATCATAACACTTTGAAATATGAGACTGATAAACAGTGTCAACTGGACTATCTCGAGCATATTACATGCAAAACAACACAAACAATTTAGCAAATTTTGTTTTATCATAACAAATTTGCATAATGGGAGTAGATAAAAAATTCTTGCCATCAATTAATTTTTTACTATGAAGAGTTTAGCGGATGTTTTTGTTTGGTTCATTTTTTGCCATTCAGGGTATATTGAATTTAAACCTGGCTGTGCCAATTCGATTTTTGTTATAAATTACTTAAGTCACCTACAAGGTCTGTTGTTGGGGTTTTATGTTTCTATAATCCTTTTATTGGATGTTAGACCAGACAGGTTTACACTTGGAGTCTGAACAATATCTTCGATGGGGCATACTCATAGATATTTGTTTAACCATTTATAATATAATCACTGATATCTATAAATATTTTGGATTGTTGTTGGTTAAATATGCATTATGGCACATTCAAATCCAACCAAGCACGGGCAAAATGAGCCGCTCATTTATTTGTCTGCACATAAGGATGAGGGCATTAAAAGGGTTTGCTTTAATTCAATTGTTCATTCAAATTCAAATAAAGCAGCATTCATGCACAACTGGCCTTTAACTTGGTATATATATCCTTACTTATCCTGTGGACTAAGGGACAGATTTGGTGTATATACACCAACAAGAGAAGAGATTATTCCTGACTTCACTGCAGACCTTGACAACAGGATTTCTCATTTGATGAAAGCCATATTATACCCTGACTTATAATCCAGACATTCATTGACATATATATTTTATCATTTCCAAACTTACAGAGATGCTTTATGATGTGCATATATATATTAAGGAGTATAGTCTTTAATATTTATTGCTGTTAGAATTATAAAATTTATGAACATTTTTAGAAGATTTTTTTTCTCTCGTATTTTTCATTGCATATATCCTAACGCTCTCTACCTGGCTAGAACACCAATTTAACAAACGTACGGGAATCTTGGGAGAAATAAGACAGAGGTTTATGTAAGGCACTAGGTTCCAGCACTAAACTACTGCTAGGTATTTGTTTCTGGTGCCTGTTACTTAGTCTGGTTTTATATTTTAATCTTACATAATACACTCTTTTAATTCATCATATCTGTGTAGTTTAGCAGAAAAGCTTGTTAAAATAGAGATCCTTTGAGATGAATTGACGAACTCCAGTGTATCTATAAACACACTATTGAGTTCTTAATACACCTATCATTCCAATACATGAGATATTAAATAGTGTTTAAAAGTCAAACAAAAATTATGGGGAAGAAATTTTCAACACCAAAAAATATATGTACCTACAGGAAGAAGTTTTATTGCATAACAATCCTACTGGCGAGGACAGGGTCAGAAGTATTCGGAGGATAAATACGTACTCAACAAAGGATATTTAAGCTTAATTATGAAATTTCTATTCAATGACATTCAAATTGAGGATATATATGTAAGTGCATTCAAGTAGAGATTTTAAGAATTGAGGTAAAGGCAAGCTTTGTCTTTTTTGCCTTTGTATTATGGGTTAGGGATGTACTTCTCTCTAAATATTCTAAACCACACCATAGAAATATATCTTGGTTGCATAACATCTTGAAGTATTGATCTCTTTACCATGTACTTTTGGTTTGCTGTAGTACAGGTATTAAAAATTTATCAAGCAATTAGTTTTCCCTTACATGTACATGTAACCTGATTATTTTGTGCCGTGACTGATAGATTCTCTCGGAGACCATAATATGGCTATGTTCAGCTTTGCACTTTTTATAGCCAGTCTATATATTTACAAGTTGTTAGTCCATTGGTTAAGCTGCATGCATTCTCCCTAATTCACACAAAAAGGCAAGAATATACAATAATATATAGTTTGGTAAATCATTACAATCTCCACAGGAAGCACATCAATGGCTTTTTATACCATGAAATCACTAATTTTCATGGGGGTTTAATTTTTGTTGTTTTTAAAGAAATCCACAAATTCATGTCCACTATGAAATGTAAAATTTCATATACATAACTACTCAACAATTCTTAATCCACAAAATCAAATCCCCACAAACTCATAGTTTTTCCACAAACCACAGAAATTTGATCTCATGAAAATATGTGATTTTACAGTATACATGCATGTACAACTGTTGTACTTAAGGGTAAAATACCTGTGTTTTTATGTAACAATTTCTAGTAGAAATTTTTGTGAAATTTATACATAAGGTTTAATTTCTTTACATTTATTTAGCAACTACGGCATGACCACCTAGTGAATTTGATAGAAGTGTTCAGAAGAAAGAAAAGACTATATTTAGTGTTTGAATTTGTGGATCACACTGTGCTTGATGAACTCGAAAAGTGTCCTAATGGTTTGGATGAAAACACAGTCAGAAGAATCTTGTGGCAAGTTCTGAAGGGCACAGAATTCTGCCATTTACACAATGTAAGTTTGTTTTGGTTTTCTCTGTCAGTCAGTTAAGAAAAAAGGTTAGAGCTGCCAACCCTTATGATTTAGATGTAAAGCTACTGTTTGAGCATCTAAAATATGCCTTTTGATTTCTCTCTTCTTCCAATTTCTATTTTTCTCCATCCAGAGTTTGAAATACCAAAATTTTCATTGCTGTCCACCTTCATTTTTCACTATATGATAAAAGAGTCATATAGTCGATCTTTACAGCATTTGCTTGTATTGTCATTGTCCATTTATATGCTAACTTGTGATCTAAATCATATTAAAGTAAGCAAAATAGAAAAAAATTTACAGTGGCTGGGGGTCTTTAGGCAGCCCATGGACTCCCTCTTTACAATTTTTTTTCATGATGTTGGCAGCTCTGAAAGACTAAATATTACTGATACAGATCATCTGAGTAACTTGAATTTAAACTTTCTCTTCCAGATTATTCATAGGGATATAAAGCCAGAAAACATACTTGTTAGTAAGTCAGGGATAGTGAAGTTATGTGATTTTGGATTTGCTAGGACTCTTGCACAACCAGGTGAAACCTACACAGACTATGTAGCAACCAGGTGGTACCGTGCTCCAGAACTTCTGGTGGGGGACACCAAGTATGGAAGGTAAGTACCCAGTAACCAGGTGCCCATTAAAATCTCTCCATATCTTGATTGATCATTTCACAGGAAGTTATCTGATAAACCGTTTCATTATCATTGGACATTGAATGTACAGACCATAGTCAGTGTAAAGTTGATAGAAAAAATTAATTCTAGCATAAATCTTTGGTTTGACTTCACTAATTCAGACATTACATTGCCTATAAATTTCAATGGGTTTGGATATTTAAAAATAAATCAGTTGATGATAATTTATTGGCTAAATTTTGGCATGTCAAATATAGGTTAATTTAAAGTACTTTGGGTATATATTCTTTGCCTCTTTCCAATTACAAACTTCAGTACAACATTTAAGAGCTATAGTTATGAGATCCCTCAAATTAACCAAAATTCTAGATCAAGGTGTCTGTTTTTAATTCACCTGAGCCAAAGGCTCAAGTGAGCTTTCTGAATCTCTGAAAGCAAAATTTATTCATTGTCTGTTTTTGTTGTTGTCATTGTAAACTTTTCAAAATTCCATCTTCAGAACCACTGTGTCAATTTCAACCAAACTTGACACAGAGTATCCTTGTGAGAAGATTCAAATTTGTTCAAATGAATTAAAGGCCACACACTCTTCCAAGGGGGGTTAATTAAGAAATAGTGAAAATTGGGTGGCGTTATTAGAACAATTGGGCCAGAAAAGATGAAACTTATGTGAAAACTTCCTGACAAATTGTTGATTTATATTTTTCATATCATGACATCGAGGTAGGATGGGGCCACTATGGGAGTGTGGGTGATCAAAGTTTTATGTGGGAATATATAGGAAAAATCTTCTTCTCAAGAACAGCAAAGCTATGATCAGTCATATTTATTTGAAGGCATTCACAGGTAGTGTAGATTGAAGGTTCATGTAAATTCAATTCAAGTTTGTTCAAATCATGACCCTCTAAGGTAGAGTGGGGCCACAAAAAATGATCAAAATTGTACTTAAGAATATACAGGGGAAAGAATCTGCTGATGAAGACCAGAAGGGCTATTGTTACTCAGGTGAGCATTGTGGCCCATGGGCCTTTAGGTTTGTTCTGTCATGAAAATGACTGTGGCATATATTCAATTTTCTGACCTTGATCTACCCCATGACAACTGACAAGTTGCCCACGTTGCACAGTGGTTAGAACGTCTGCTCTAGAGTCACGGAGTAAGGAGTTGATCCTTACGTCGCGGGTCTGAATCCCACTGTGGACACGGAGACTGATCCTTGGGATGAGACCATATAAACCAAAGTCCCTTGTCGCAGTAGGTGCTGGCACGAAAAAGATCCCTCATTGCTCAATGACTCTAAGTGTCGAGCATAGGTTAAAAATTTGCAGCTCTCCACCGGCAAGTGGTGGCATCTCCATATGAAACAAAAATTCTCGAGAGGGACGCTAAACAACACACAAACAAAAAAAAACCCATGACCTTGCCTCCCGAATACATCATTTTGATTTACCTTTATAGTTTCAAAGAAACTTAATTTTCAAGGTCAAATGTAACTTTTTAAATATATTAGAAATATGTCAGAGGTCACCTGGTTTACTGCCATTCTAACAAAATATCAATAATTGAATCATTTGTTTTAATGGTTTTCAATCTGCATATTGGAAAGAGAGATTCAAGTCACAATGTTATGACCCAGACACTTCCAACAAATTTTTTTTCACTTATCTAGATTTTTGATATTTCCTTGAATATTATGAAGCATTTTTATGCCCTCGTATTGAAGATTTAGGGGTATATAGTTTTTGTCCTATCCATCCGTCTGTTTGTTTGTCCGCAAAAACTTTAACATTGCCCATTACTTTTGATTGGTTGGAGCTATGGCTTTCATATTTCACATGTGTATTCCTTGTGACAAGACCTTTCTTTGGGTACCATCATATTTGACCTTTTGACCTTGACCTTGGAGTTTGACCCACTTTTACAAAATATTAACCAACTTCAACTTTGGCCATAACTTTTGAACAGTTGATGCTAGGGTTTTCATACTTCACCTATGCAATTCTTGTGACAAATCCTTACTTTGGATACCAACAACTTTGACCTTTTGACCCTGACCTTGGATTTTGACCTACTTTTGGAAAACTTTAACCCTTGGCCATAACATTTGAACGGTTGGTGCTAGGGCTTTCATACTTCACAAATGTAATCATTGTGACAAGACCTTCCTTTGGATAGCAACAACTTTGACCCTTTGACCTTAAACTAGGAGTTTGATCTACTTTTGGAAAACTTTAACCTTGGCCATAACTTTTGAATGGTTGGTGCTAGGGTTTTCATACTTCACATATGTAATTTTTGTGACAAGACCTTCCCTTGGATACCAACAACTTTGACCTTGACCTTGGAGTTTGACCTTCTTTTGAAAAACTTTAACCTTGGCCATTACTTTTGAACAGTTGGTGCTAGGGCATTCATACTTCACATATGTAATCCTTGTGACAAGACCTTTCTTTGGATACCAACAATTGTAATCCATTGACCTTGACCTTGGAGTTTGACCTACTTTTGAAAAACTTTAATCTTGGCCATAACTTTTGAATGATTTGTGCTTTGGCTTTCATATTTCACATGTGTATTTCTTATGAGAAGGCCTTTCCTTGGGCACCATTAATTTTGACCATTTGACCTTGACCTTGATGTTTGACTTACTTTTTGAAAAACTTTAACCTTTTCCATATCTATTCAATGGTTGCTGCTAGGGCTTTCATATTTCACAGGTATATTTCTTGAGACGAGACCTTACTTTGGATAGCAAAATATTTGATTTGCTTTGGAGAAAGTTTAACCTTTGCTATAAGTTGCCATATGGGGGGCATCAGTGTTTCACAAACACATCTTGTTTTAAATATGTATTTTATTGTCTGTAGCATTCATACCATATGGACACTTTCCTAGTTTATATAATTTGCCAATTAATATATCAAATTTTAATTCAAGGTGTTTTCAGCAATAACAACAGTTCTAGCAGTTTGCCATAAGGAAAACAAAATAACCATTGTACTATTGATAGTATTGTCTCTGTTAATAAGAGATGGAGAATTCATATGTCTATATACATGTAGTTATTTTGATAACTGAAGTCAATAATGACAATTCATATGTAGGGCAGTGGATATCTGGGCAATAGGATGTTTACTGGCAGAGATGTTGACAGGGGAACCTCTCTTTCCAGGGGATTCTGATATAGATCAGCTATACCATATTGTCAAATGTTTTGGTAAGTGCCACAAAACTATAGTAAAAATGTTCACATCTTAATTAAGACTATACTGGTTGTGATAAGATACTCTGTACAAGAGAAAGAATATATAAGCAAGTGGATTTAATTATGCTGAATTTATACTTTCGTTTTTTGAAATAAAGATTATAAAGCATTATAGCAGTTCACAAAGATACTATGAACAACATGTAATTGATAAAATATCTATCAATACTTTAGGTAACCTAACTCCTAGGCATAAGGAGGTCTTTCTCAGGAATCCACTTTTTGTTGGAATGCGATTACCAGAAGTTAGAGAGATTTCACCTTTAGAAAAGAAATTCAACAGGATATCTTCACAATCATTAGAATTAATGAAGGTAATTATGATTCATGCTTGCAAACAGAAATTATGATGATTTTGATCTTGGAAAGCAAATGGTGGTAATAAAAAAGTAATTTGTTGGTCCATTCATGTTAAGTAGGAAAAGGATACTAAACACTTATATTGAACAACTGATTTAGACATTGAATCAAACCTTCAATACAATTAAACTATATGAACTATATAAAAAGGAATTGGACAAAAGAGTATTGATACCTAATGAAAAAGTGCATGTTATCACTGAGATATTAGATTTCATACTTTTGCATTCCAGCAATGTTTGCGACTTGATCCCGACGAACGACCCACATGTACTCAGCTTATAAAACATGACTTCTTCTCTAAAGATGGCTTTGTCACAAGGTTTCAAAATGATCTAAAACAGAGGATTGAAAAAGAGAATCAGGGCAACCCTCTTAAAACTGGTGATAAAGACGATGATGATAGCAAGAGTAATAAAAAGAAAAAGAAAGGAGACAACAATAAAGACAAGGTAAGTGGTTTGCCTAGTGAGCATTTGATTGTGACATCACAGTGGTAATGACACACTTCTTATTTTGTGATGTTGTGCTACTTGGTTTGTAAGGGATTTGTGCAGTTCCATAATTATATAGATATTTTTATTAAGAATTTTAGAAGTGTGAAGGAAGGAGAAGGTACTATAATGTGTGCCAGTAGTTAGCAGTTTTTTCTGAGACCAAGTCCTATTCTTTGACTTTTTAATTGTAAAATGACACTGAACAAGCCTTGTGTCTATTGTCAATTAAAAAGATAAAGGAACTTGAGTTGTAGAAAAACAGGTTACTAACTCGCACAAGTTATGAAACCTTTATTAAGGTCTTCCGTTTCCAACGGAAGACCTTCTACTGATTGTGATGATTAAGATTATTCTTTTTTTTTTTTTTCCTAGACGCCAACTTTGAGGCTTCATATCTTCCTCATTTTTAAACAGATTTTGTTCAAATTTTCAGAGCTTTTAGACTTTACAAAACACTGTCAGAATACCGTAATACAATTCGGAAATTACCTTCTGTTCACGAGTTATTCCCCTTTGATTGAATTTTGCATGCCTCCGATTTCCAGACAAAGGCTCAGAAATGGTTATAATTGGAGCACAAAACCCTTTGAAATTGAAAAGAGGAAGCATTGAAGTTGTGCACATCGGTTTTTGTTTTTTGATTTTTGCATTAAAAATGGCGCTAGAGAGGGGTCAAAAGTTAGAACGCGGAAAACAGCAAAAAATTTGACATATTTTCCTTTATATCTTGAAAACTAGAAATATTTTGTTAAGACATGTAGAACAAAAGTTGTGCATAATTGCAAGGGCTTTCATATCATACTATTTAAAAGGGGCTGGTCCCTATGATTAGGGATCTTGGGCCCTTAAAAGTTTTTGCTTTATAACTCAAAAACGGTAAATATTTCGATCTGGATCTTGGGAACAAAATTGTTCTTTTACACCTTTTTGATCTAATGAAAATGTTGTTTTGTTCGAGTATACCATGGGTATTGCGTAATACGTATTACAAAGCAGGCCAGGTAAACAGGTAACGTTTTTCATTCGGCAAGGAAATCAGACCTCTTCATGTGTATAACTTAAACAGACTTGCTATCAATAATATACCCTGCGGTATTTAATGTTAATTTTCTTCTTAATAAGGTTTAAAACGTGGTTTATGGTTCACTATTAAATTATTTATTAAGGTCTTCCGCTCCAGGCGGAAGACCTTCTACTGATTCTGATGGTTAAGATTATTAAGGTCTTCCGCTCCAGGCGGAAGACCTTCTACTGATTCTGATGGTTAAGATTATTCTTATTATTCTTTTTTTTTTTTCCTAGACGCCAACTTTCAGACCTCATATCTTGCTCATTTCTCAAGGGATTTTGCTCAAATTTGCAGGGTTTAAAGACGTTACAAAATTCTATCAGAATGCTGTCAAACATTTCAAAAACCCACTTCCGCTTTTGGGTTATCTCCCTTTACATGAAAATTTAGGTGGCTTCATTTCCAGACAAAGGCTCAGAGACTACTGAAGCTGGAGTAGAAATTCTACCGAATTTAAATAATAGAAGCACTGAAGTTGTGCACATCGGTTTTTGTTTTTCAATTTCTGTATTCAAAATGGCGCTAGAGAGGGGTCAAAAATTAGAACGCCAAAAAGAGCGAAAATTTACACATATTTTCCTTTTTATCTTCTAAACTAAAAATATTTTGATAAAACATGTAGAATAAAAGTTGTGCACAATTTTAAGGCCTTTCATTTGAGACCACTAAAAAGGGTCTGGCCCCTAAAATTAGGGATCTGGGGCCCTTTAAAGTTTTTGCTTTATAACTCAAAAACGGTAAATATTTCGAAATAGCTGCCGTAATTAAAGTTGTTATTTAACATCTTATTGATCTCAAGAAAATGTTATTTTGTTTGAGTCTTGTGTTCTAAATGAGCTAGAAGCATAACAAATATACAGGTAAGTGTTTTCATTCAGCAAGTAAACAAGAGCCCTTCATGCGTGTAATTAAAATAAACTTACTATAAATAATAAACCTTGCTATATTAGATGCTAATATTCTTTAGAATCAGGTTTTTGAAGTATTTTGTGCTTTATTTCCAAATTATTTACTGACAACTTTCCCTTTTATTTCGTTTGTTTTCAAATTTGGATAAACCAGTCTACTAAACAGGGAAAAAAAGATAACCTTTTCTTCTTTTCATATAAAAACAAACAATAAAGTTAGAAAATAAAACAAAACTTTAAACATAGACTATTCACAGCCATTAAGTACACGCCTTTTACATTCACCTCGTGTGTTTACAATTATGTAACCCCTCCCTCGATAGCGCGTGGCAAAGGAGGTCACCGAGGATCAATCGGCGTGTGAACCAGCGACCTAAGGTCATACACAAAACAAATAGAATGGCCATTCCAAATACATTTTAACTAAGTGATGAGTGGATAAATATGTTGAATCTTTCAGATTATTTCATATCTTTGATTAAGTCGCAAATACATTTCGATTTATATTTTATTCGCTCAATTACAAGAAAGTTGCATATTTAGTCTTATAAACATTGCATTGTTGAGATAATTGCGCTTTGTGGAAAATTACTTTAAAATCATTTCGAATCTTTCATATGATTCCGTCTTACTGTTTAATTATCACTCGCTCGTTTTAATCAGCTAGTCTTAACTGCCTTTCACTTATTCACTTCAAATTCAATGCATTTTGAATGCCGAAAAGATCAGAAACAGTTTATTTATCTCTCTTATGTTATTATTTAACGAGTTGCTATTTCTTTCATGAACATTAAACAGGATGTATGTAATTAAAAACGATAATTGTATGTAGAGGTCACATTTTTAATTGTCAGGAAAATCGAAAGTAAAATTAAGTACTTTTGAGTTTGTATTATTTTCTTCCTAACTTACAATATTATTGCATACAAAATACTAGGTCGGACGCATGTAACTTAACCGCCTCAATATTTCACTTGTATTTGAAAATTCTATCGAGCGTCGAATGAATTTTACCCGTTAAAAAGTGTACCAAAAAAAAAAAACCCTTCCTATGCAGTTTTCTTTGGGAATCAATTGGCTTAGATAGTCTACTCCGACATGTGTTGACAAAACTCACGCAATGAGAAGCCATACATTTCAAACTTGTGACCTCTTGGTCAGTGCATGTGAAGATTACGCATGGCAATTAGTGTCTGGAAAACGAAGTATGTTTTATAAGTGATTTGACAGGTTAAGATTTGTTCTCATTCCAAATTAAATACAAACACAAACCCTTTATTTTCTTTGTTATTTTATACCGTCAGTTATATCAGATAGATTGTTTTAAAAACGTGTTGTTTACGAAGATTAATCTTATGCATTTGTTTTATTTCATCTAATAAATTGAATTTACCCATGACACAAATTATTGGTACATGCATGTAAGTACGCGTAAATGCGATTTAATTTGTTGATGCGGAAGAGCGCCCAAAATAAATACACTTCAAACTCTGGAATTTCCCTATTTTACTGTTTAAATCATAGGTCCACTCAGCTGACGAGTTGTTTTAATAACGGTAATAAATTATATTCAAGTCCTGGCCAGCGATCGTTACGGTTGGTGACATTGCAATTAAACAGGTCGATACTAAGGTACTAAGATACTAATGGGTGTATATATTTTCACCTAATATGTTTTCATTGAGTGTTTTCATAAGAAGTAAATTGCTGGAGGATATCATGTTCTCCCTGATCACATCGATAGCGTGTAGAAACAGCGGTATATGAACACGCGCTTTTGTGTACAAAGCAAACGTGTAAACCAAAAGGATGGGAAAAAAACGACGAAATAAAAACATTTCTCTATTAACTGAAATTATTGTCTTTAGACAGATAAAAATAAATGATTATCCGCCTGAGAACATGTGAAAATCATACCCAAATACAATGTAACGAAGGATTTCGGGTTTAATCCCGAGTACACATTTATAGCAATGATGTGTACATGTACATGCAGAATACCTCTTTTTTTATCCTTCGTCCATGTGTTCCTCCTTAACGGAAAAAATTATCAGTAAATTATATTATACCGAACGAGGTTGAAAAATGCCGAACTTTATTTCTCAAAATTAACAGCAATTATCCGACTTTTCTCATACCACTGTAAAAATGCCGTAAAAACTAAAACCGTCTGGTTTGACTTTGTCAACGAGTTTTAGATCGGGTTTGAGATTTTTATTAAATGTCTGGAGTATTTCGCTTATTCTGCAAGTCCGTATAATGAAAGAAAACACTGACAGATTTAGAGGTGTTTCAGGGTGTCTGTCCACACTGGCGGATTTAAGTGGGGCTTGGAGGCGCACGCCCCCCCCCCCCCCCTAAAATTTTCAAAATATGACATGACTAATATTAATAATGCCATACTTTGGTTTTATAATTAATGGTCAATTAAAAAATGGTAATTTTATTTTATGATCAAGTATCGGTTTTCTTAAAAATCAAGTCTGAAAACCTTGCATTCCCTAGGCTATGAATATTATCTCATAATTATTCAAAGCGGAAAACGTCTCCCGATTTCGTTTGAAGGGTAGACAGCACTTGTCAATTTCCTATGATGATGCAAAGAAAAATACTGCAATATTTAAAGGCTGGTCGAAGGTAAATAACATTCGGCAAACCTCGGCTGATTCCGTCACCTTCATCCAGATGAGGTACGAATCGGCCGAGGTGTGCCGAATGAGGTAAATAAATGAATTTAAAATCAGAAGGTCTACGTTACAAACCTATCCACTGATTGATGTATTTATTTATCAAATGGTGTAACTATGCAGTAATTTACTTACATAGATACAAGACTTTTTTTTAATGTCAGGATATAGGTTAGGATGGTCACAGACGAGTGTAACTTCGACCACCTGGTTAATTTCGACTGTTCATAAATACCTTAAAATTATCAGTTTATCACCTCTAAAAATATCTTGTATATACAGAAAGACACA